ATGAGTCACACACTTAAAATATTTTTGAAAATAATTCACAGCAGAATTGTTAAAACTCTTGAATATGAGATTAGTGACACACAATTTGGCTTTAGAAATGGTATGAGTACAAGAGATGCTTTGTTCGGCTTGAATGTGCTGGCTCAGAGATGCATGGACATAAATCAGGATATGTACTTATGTTTTGTAGACTTTGAAAAGGCATTTGATAAGGTTCAACATAAAAAGCTTGTAGATATATTAAAAAGCAAAAATATTGACAGTCGTGATCTGAAAAATATATCTAATTTATATTGGAATCAAACTGCCAAGGTAAGAGTTGACAGCCAGTACACCGAAAATATCAAAATACAGAGAGGAGTCCGCCAGGGTTGCGTGCTGTCCCCACTACTTTTCAATGTCTACAGTGAAGCGGTATTTCAAGAAGCGCTCTCAGACTCAATAGAAGGTGTATCTATCAATGGAGAAGTTTTGAATAACTTACATTTTGCAGACGATACAGTAATAATTACGGATAACAACAATGATTTACAGAACGTAATGCAACGCCTTAATGAACGCTGTCATGAGTACGGACTGAAGATAAATTTAAAGAAAACTAAATGCATGATCATGACTAAATCTGCACATGCAAATATCCAATTGACTATTGAAGATACTGCAATTGAGAGTGTTAATAACTATAAATACTTAGGAACATGGATAACATCAGATGTAGACCAAACCAAAGAAATTAAGACACGTATTGAAATAGCACGTACATCATTTATTAAACTTAAAAAGTTTCTTTGTTGTCGGGATATAAGGTTAGAACTACGCCTGAGAATGCTTCGATGTTACGTGTTCTCTACTTTTCTTTATGGTCTGGAAGCTTGGACACTAAAACAAGTTCATCTGAATAAGTTGGCCGCCTTTGAAGTTTGGTGTTACAGAAGAATCCTACGAATATCATGGACTCAAAGAATGTCAAACATGGAAGTAACTAGAAGGATAGGAAATGAGGCGGAAATAATATTAACTATTAAAAGACGAAAACTTGAGTACTTGGGACATGTGATGAGAGGGCAAAAATACGCATTATTACAACTTATTATGCAGGGCAAAATCCGAGGAAAGCGAAATGTGGGAAGACGAAGAATATCCTGGCTTAAGAACTTGAGGGAATGGTTTGAATGCAGTAGTGCAGAACTTTTTAGAGGGGCAGTCAACAGAGTCCGCATAGCCATGATGATTTCCAACCTTCGATAGAAGATGGAACTTAAAGAAGAAGAATAAAATAATAGTATAGGCTATTTAATGTGTTTGTCTTGTTTATTTCGTAGACCTTAACATGTAAAATCAGATTATTGAAAAAAAAGTTGTTAGAGGTAAACAACACTATGTTCAAATACACATTTTTTTAAAAAAATTATAAAATGAATGGTAAACTTCAGTTATATAAGACTTCATAGAAGGAAAAACGAGTATATACACAACAATAATAAAATATGTTATTCTTGGTTAAATATAAGAAACATTTGAGTAAGAAAATGGACATAGTGCCCTTTACCTCCGGGGTACAGATTTGAGTTTCTCCAGATTCTGCTTGATAAGAAATAATTATTAATTACACTATGTTTGTAAAAGATGATTGTGTAATATATTCAATTAACAAAAAATTGTTTCCAATTTTTTTAGAACTTATTCTAATTTGTCAAGATAACAAAATATGTTTTAACAATTTATAAGTTCTTCGTAGTGAACGTAAATTTTGACAGGTATGTAATTATTTGGCTGCTTACCAAAATTTAAACACAGTAATTATTAAATTACTAATAAAAAATTAAACAGTCTAAAACAGTAATTATTATTAGAAATTGTTTCGTCTAATGACGTTACTTATAATTATTTTGTACTATGGCTGTGGCTGCAGACGTAAAAATTAATAATGTTTTATTATCTGAAATGTTTGAAATAAATTTACATGCTATTGGATCGCGATAAAGATGGCGTCAGTTGACTGTTCTTGAAGCTTTTAACTGTGGTGTACCATTATTTCTCAATTCATCTGAGATGTGAAGTGCTCACAACACGAAATCAATGATTCAATAATGGATAAATATAGCAAAGACAACGTAGATAATAGAGATTAATGGTGTGTTTAGAAAATTAGATGTGTAGTGAAGAGCAAGGGGATATAAAAATACAGCACATTTAGTCATTCAGAAAACTTGTTGGCTAGACTAGACTAAACGAGAATATAATAAAAAGCTGTATTATATTGTTACGAAAGTTCCGTAATATTGTTCCAACATAGAAAGTCCCTTGACGAAAAAGAAGAAAAAGTTCGAGAACCTTCAAGATGACATCGAAAATTCATGAAATGTCTAGTGAAGTTCCTAACGTCAGAAAATATATAGAAACAGATGTTTGTGACAGTTTAGAAGACTGCGCTTCTCCTTTTCCTCTTTCTCTTCTTGCCTACGTTTCTTCTTGTCTAAGCTTGTTCTCTTCTTGACAACGCTTCTTTTCTTCTTCCATTTTTGAAAAGGGGTCCGGACGTATCCATTTCTTTGTCAAAATCAGTAGATCTTGTATTTATCATTAAGAATTACTAAATATGTTTGATCGCAGTGCTTTCATCAATGATACACTTCTTTAAAATCAACTTTATTCGAAACACCAACAATATTGCAATACTTGTTTACAATAATTCAATGACAACTATAAACTTATTAACTCAAATACTGTTCTAGCCTATCCATCGAGCAAAAAGATATAAGAGGGAATGTAAAGGTAGTGGGGGCAAAAATATTGTTAGACAGGAAGTGCCATCTCGAGAGACCACATTAAACAAGGAAAGAGAGTCTTTTCTTGTTTAAGAAATCAAATTTAGTTGGGTTGTTATTGCTGATGTTATTGTTTGTCCCAACTGTCACATGAAATCTTAATTATATTATCTATTTAAGTTTTTTAACAATGGTGTCACATTTTAGACTATTATCGTTATTATTTGATTAAAACTTTCTCGTCTAAGACTAAGGTGTTATGTAACAGAGACCTAAAATTGGCATTAAGGATCCGACTACTTCGCTGCTACGTGTTCTCGGTCTTATTTTATGCTGTCGAGTCCTGGGGTCGTATTTTTGAATGTGTTCGAATTTATTCGCATGCGATTAGTTCGAACGAAAAAAAATCGTGCACGAACGTAAAAGCGTATTTTCGAACGCAATTCGAAAGTTTAAGTCGCATACGAGAATCCGTTAACCCAAATTCACCGGCAACGCCGCAAATTCGCACGAAATTAAGAAAAGAAGAGGTAGAGGTGACAGGAGACATTTATTTGACTGACAAGTTTATTTTACTTGTTGCAGCAGACTTGAAGTTTTTTAGTTTTTTGTGATTTGCTCAATTTTCTACACAGTGTTAACGTGTTTTGGCTTGTGTTTTCGTACTTATCTGTTTTCTCTGTTTCCAATATGGACAAAGAAATTAAAAATTCCATGTTCGGAGGATTTGTATCTTCCGAACAAAAAAAAAAAAGAACTGATAGATTTTATGGAAGAAAATAGATTAGAAAGCCTGCAAAAAAATTATTGTAGGTAAACAATTTTATTACTCTCTATGTAAAATACTTGGCCCGGATGCTTATTCTTAAGGAACAAAGCGGAGGGTGCTTTGGGGAACATTTTCACAGTATACCTATGTCGAATTAAAAATATTTGTTATACTTACCTTTCTCGGTATGCTCAAAGCAGATGCCCTAGATGGAGGTACCAAGTGGGGCTTCAAAAGTTCTATTAGTTCCTCTGCCCTAGGCTTTGTTAAACGGTATAATTTTACAAATTGTTTGTCTGATAAGTCCTCAAGAGGGTTTAAAATGCATGGTATACTCTATTCACCACATTCGCTAACATTTCTGCATCTTCTAAGGCATTTAAAACATTTCTTTTATTTAAAAAATTTAGGCCAGCCATCTCACTTATGTAAACAATTAAAAACCAAACTAAATGCAAAAGTCAGAAATGTCAAACTCCATGTGTTTACCGCTATTCGAATGGTGAATACCCACTCGAGCAGTCGTGTACCAAAAATCGTCGTATACGATGCGTTCGAAATCAACTCGAAAATACGAATCATCGATTTTCGTTCGAAATTCATCATGTTTCGCATACGATTTCCGTTCGAACGGTTTCGAAAATACGGGCCCAGGACTGTGAATAAAATCGATCTAAATCGCCTTGAGGCTTTCGAAATGTGGTGCTATAGAAGAATTTTAAAAGTTTCCTGGGTGGAGAAGATTCGTAACTCCACATTACTAGAACGTCTCAGCAAAACTACTGAGATCATAAAAAGCATCAAGCAGAGAAAGCTGGAATATTTCGGACATGTAATGAGAGGTCCCACATATAGATTGCTACAAAATATCATGCAAGGAAAAATAGCAGGCAAACGCAGTCCAGGACGAAGAATAACCTCATGGTTGAAGAACTTGCGAGATTGGTATGGTGTAGATACAAGCCTGCTATTTAGGGTGGCAGTGAATAAAATTAAAATAGCTATGATGGTAACCAACGTTCTGAAAGGACATGGTACATGAAGAAGAGAAGAAGAAGTCTAAGACTCGTTCTGAAAAACATTTTATAGCTACTTTAAATTTGGCGCATTCGCATTTCCGGATATGTCCCCCATCAGAGGTCACTTTTTTGGTCTCCTTTTCATAACGATTAGATTCCCTCTTTTATCTTTTTGCTCGATGAGCCTATCACAAACATCTCTTTATATATTTTTTCTGATGTTCCAAACTTAAGTAGACATTTCGTGAATTTTCGACGTCATCTTAAATGTTATCGAGCTACTTCTTCTTTTTCGTCAAGAGACTTTTTCTATGTGAGATAAATCTTACCGAACTTTTGTAACAATACGTTATGTGCTGAATGAACAGTCCAGATATTACAGATATTACAATCAAATTAAAAATTATTAAATCGATTGGAGCTCAATAAATCTAAAATACTTACCCTTCAACGGCAGAAGAAAAATGAGGTATATCATTTCCACACCAAGACACATCGAACTTTTTCACAAATTTACATCTACTTCTAAAATAGAGTATGGTATTACAGTTGACTAGATACCAATATGGCTAAAATAAATAAAAAATGTTTTGTAATGTAGACTGTTTTTTACTAAGTGTAAGTATGCAGTATGTCAGTTCCCCCGATAATTAATTTTGTATGTGTGTGATCATGTTAAAACTACGTAATATTTTTCAAGAAAGCAACTGCGTATTGCAGCTGTACATTCTTTCTTTAAGTACCCATTAAGAATGTCTATGGTAACCATTTATTTTGAAATTAGTCTCTCAATAAGGTATAAAACACACAAAAGCCCAGATTTCAATTCATTCTTAGTTTAGCGATGGCGGCTGACGTCAGCTAATACGTTTGCAATTTTAAGCTTTTGGTGAAACTCGCAGAAATGTAGTAAGTTGTAATTCTTTGTCACTCTCGTTAAAATATTTTTAGGGGTTTAAAGTCAGTCTACTTACGAAGCCACCCTTTTGTCGATGTGTCATCATTCTCCATCGTCTTAAAGCCGACGACTTAAGAAATGAATTCGACTTGGTTCGACAATTTATGCCTTGTTTTTGCGTTAACATATAGCTAACAGAGGTTAACGACTTTCCTAAGTGAGTGCGTAAATAATTTATTTAGACAATTTATGTAAAGAGAATATACGATTAAATTTTTTTGTTATTTTAATTATTAAGAAGTAAAGAATTCTTAGAGAATATTAAATATCCTTTGTAATGCGTAATATTATATAAAAAACAAAAAGCTTTTCCCGATTTGACAGATTGTTGTCCTTACCCTTTAATTTTGAAGTTTTGAGCAATAATTAATTTGTTTTTAAATAATCATTTATTTTAATTTGATCGAGGATCGCAATCTATTTAGCTATTAGATTATGTCAGTATGTGTCTTTTTTTATTTTATTTCTTTTTTTTTTGAGTACTGAATAAATACATTTTTTTGTAGTTCATTATTTGTTTAATGATTTTATTTTATTGACGATATAACTTTTTTGCATTATATGGGTAAACATGTCAATTTTAATTCTATGTGTTATCTATGTGTCATCCGTTTCCTTACCCACCCAATGATGGCTCCGAGAATGAGCAACGAGCCTTCGTAATGTTCCTGTGAACAATCGGCTTATTACCAAGTTATCTTCTTATCTTTGACCACCTTGAGCTGTTTTTCGTAGCAAAGAATAGACTTTGAAATACGTAAAGTCTCCCAGGAACAAATTTCAATAATTCGCTTTATAGAAGACGCGTGGATATACGACACGTATTTTTCTATATTTAGTCTATTTAAAACTTATTTATTTGTTTTTCGTGCAGTCCAAACAAAATTCTCTGGTACACCTACGTTCAAAATGCCTCTAACTTATTAAGACTTTTTATCTTTACACTGCATGTTTCAACTCAATAGAGAACAACAGGTCAAGCAAAACATTTTACAAGTTTCAATCTTAGTTTGAGAAGTCGATATGTGTATCGCAAAGTAGCCCACGCATCTTGACGAAACTATATCTAACTTGAGCAATTCTCGCTTTAATTTCTTCTTCTGGGTCAAGTTTGTAGTTAATCCAGCAGCCAAGGTATTTCTATTGGTTTACCTGTTTAATACTCTGTCATTTATCATTCTTGGTAAAAGGGCACACTGTCTCTTGAATTATCATTATTTTGGGTTTTCTCTTAATCATTCCAAACTCTCGGCAAGCATCGTTTAGTTGGTCTGAGACTTTCTTAGTTCGTGTCTGTATAAGTTAGTAGGAGAGTACCAGCTGCATATCTTGTATTAGAAATTTTTTCTCCATTAATTTTTGTTCCTGTAGAGAGGTTTTCAAAGGCTTTCTTGTATAGCAGTTCGGAGTACAGGTTCAACAGCATAGGGGACAACACAGAACCCTGCCTTACTCCTTTACTTATACTAATAATTATGGATGTTTGATCGTCGATCCTAATCTTGACTGCTAGAATATTTTTATCCTTTTGTTGATCGTAACACTTCTGCAACAGTACTTGTAGATAAAAACAAAGCCTCTCCTATTCAAATTTCGAGTATGCATGCAAATTGGTTACATACCACTTCTTGTTCACATTCTTTGTATAATCTGTTGTGAATTATTTTTAGTAGAATTTTAAGTACTTGGCTCATAAAACTTATTAATCTGAAATTTGCAAATCGTCTGAAGTTAGCTTGTTTTGGTAGGGACATACAGATAGATTATAACCATTCTTCTGGTTCTAAATTATATTTACGACAGCAGAGTATGGGGGCCTTGGGCATGGGAAAATTTTGAAGGTCGTGGGAAAAAGCGGCATCCTTTGATGTGCCGCCAGATGTGACAGGTGGACAGGTGTGGCAGGTGTCCAGATCCTCTTCTTCTTTAGTCTTTAAATTCTTCTTCTGTAAAATCGTTTTCTTCTTCTTCGTCTGTCAATTCGAACGTCAACAAAGTGAGTAACAGATCGAGATTATCATTTTCTATAAATTTGAGTATTTCGGGGTAAACTTCGTCATGTCTAGGGCTCTTATTGGTTTTTACTTCTTTGTATTCCACCTTGGTGGGCTTTCATTAGAATTATTTGATATCATTAAATTACTCAAATGCCATAACTAAACTAAGGAATATCCGGAGGGATTAGTCGAAATTCCTTTCGTCGCCGAAAGATTAAACTTAAACCCGTAAACGTCGTTATAGTAATCAAAAGTTCAAGAACAAATCCGCATGGAAGAACTTCAACTTAAGCATACAACTGTATTGTGTTTGCTCTATAATATTGAACTGTACAGACTTGTCTATTAGAGGAAAAATATGGTATCTTGTATGTAGACTTACCCGTAAATTTAAATTTTGATAAAGTAAGGCATCCCTGGAAATATCATTCCATCTTTTATTTACGATAGCACAGCGACTCAGAGATTTTAAATCTAAATATTGGAAGATGTGTAATATTATTTCATTCTAGAAATTAAAAAATCAACATTATTATAAACTTTTATAAATCTATATGCATTTGAAAAATTATTTTTGATGAAGCAAAAATAAACTATGTGCATAGAATGAATTTAAAATCAACAATACTTTTTATCAGCACAAACAGTAACATGCATGTACACTGTCACACAAAAGTAGAACAACAATCCCACTCACATGTTCCGATTATCTAGAATACATCAGAAATTTCAGATGTATATTAAAACTATTCAGATTAGCTTACTGAGACTAAGTGAAACTATGGTGGCCCAATAAACTCTGAAAATATACCACTCTCTTAATAACAGCAAGAATAACTGGAATAGTGTTAATGAACAATGAAGTGAAATTATTATATGAAGAAATAATTAAAATCGGAAGATTATAACATTTATAAAATTTTGTATAAGTTAAAATTGATTTTCTGTAATCGAATGAACTATCCTACAAATAAAGTCGTCCCAGGAATGCAACTCAACAATATTCCCAATATCATTTTAAAGTCGTCTACTTTAAAATATATAATGTATATCTGAATTGTCAATATAAATGAGTCAGATAAAATTAAATTATTACAAGAATTTTTACAAGTAACAAAAAAAGTAACAAAGAACAAAATTTGTTTAATTTACTAATGTTTGTATTTTGAGAACGATTTTCGAAGTGGAAACTGAAACGTCAATAAACTTACTTTAACTTTTAATTGTGACTTATTCTCATTTAAATAGTAATTGCTTTAAAATGCCACAAGAAAATAGCTTCAGCACAATATCAACCAGCTAAGACTGCAGCTGTCTTCAAGACCACTCAAATGACAAACACATAAGACCTACCTACATAATCTGGAGGCAACAACATGCTATAAGAAGCAAGGAACCCATCGATGCGATAAGTATCATTTCATTTTATTTTAAAGCTATAGGCAGGGTTTGCTTGTGTAAACCAAGTATCATTATGTTGTTTTATGCTAAATAAATATGATTAGTTAATTCATTGTTTTATTTGTTACCAACTGAATTTTCATTGTTTAATTCATAATTTAAAAGGCGGATTCACATTTGAGACACTGAGCTAGGCAAAGCATAGACGATAAGCTCCCATAGTTTATTCAGGTATTATTTTATAATAGTATTTCAATTCTCTCTGATAGTGTTATCGTTACAACTATTAACACACCTCAAAGTATCAACACAAAAGTGCTATTTAATGCAATACTCCAGCAAAGAAATAATGAAATGAGTCATATGCGTGATCTCTTTAAGTTATCGTATAATTTAGCTTTCCAATGAGTTTTAATAAGATGCGTGTCACTAGCTCTTTTTATAGCTACTGACACGCTATTTATTTTAATTTATTTTTTAATTGTGTCAAGACAAATAATTAGTAAGAACTACAAGTGTTATGTCGAATACAAACCTAATTCGTGTACAGCGGCATTTTGCGCGATGCTTGTGACTGTGTCAATGGAATTAAGAAGTGTACGGTCCTGTTCTCACATTGCTGCAGTTATTTATTATCTTAGCAATGCAAGATAAAAGTCAAAAATTATTAGACCAGCAAAAATACTTTCAGATTTATTTATCACATCAGCTATTGACCTTGTAATAAACGAAGATAGTGACGAAGGATAAAACTATTATTGTAATTTGCTTTTGAACATTTTTTATTATTTTGTAATTCTATAATATTTCATTATTATTAATAGAAATTGAAAAAAGGTCAAATATAAAATTAAGTATAATTATTTTATTAATTTAATCCATAAATGATAATATTTAAATGAGGTTATGTGCTTAAAATATGAAAAAAAACTCAAAAACAAAAATGCAGTTTTTTTCGAATTCAGAGTATGTTTCAGTGTGGAAATGGCAAACTGAACACTATTAGAAAAAACGGAAAAATAAAGAATAAATGGTATTAATTAGGTAAAACAATTATAGTTTATTCGTCTTCCGGGTTTGGACCGTGTCATTTGTGAGTGACCCAAAAGTGGGTTCATCTCGACGTTTCGCTACAATTGTATGTAGCTTCTTCAGGAGAACAAAGAAAAAGAAATTAGGACAGGGATTCACGTCCAACAGCTCAGAACACTAACGCGTCGAGAGGCGGGGAGTGAATCCTGGCTCCCCATCTGGCCCCATGGTCAACATACCCTTTCTCCCTTCCTATATCATCTTAACTCACAACATCCGAGTATAAAATTCACAATGGAAGTAGAAAATAATCGGTCCCTTCCCTTTCTCGATGTGTTAGTCACCTCCAAACCCAATGGCCGATTGGGTCACTCTATTTATAGAAAAAAGACTCACACGAATCGTATCTACATGCTTCATCACACCACCATCCTGCCCAAAAGAATTCTGTGATCAACTCTCTCATCCATCGGGCCATTTCGATTTCTGAACCTGACAACCTTAGAGAAGAACTTGGCCATCTGCAAAAAACCCTTGTCGCCAACGGTTACTCCAAGTCCACAATTCAAAATATTACACACCGACATCTACATCCCCCTTTACACCCTAGGACGACAAATTCAGAATCTTCGGGTAATACTCCTGTGGCTTTTCTTCCGTATATTCGAAGTGTCACTGATACGATTGGCAAAATTCTTCGCAAAGAAGGTATCAGGACTACTTTTCGACCACCCAAGAAAATCTCACAATATCTACCCTCTCCTAAGGACCCATTACCGCCCCTATCTTCCTGTGGTGTCTATTCTATTCCTTGTTCATGTGGACATGTGTATATTGGCGAAATTGGTCGTTCCGTCAAAACTCGGATCCAAGAGCATCAAAGATGCATTCGATCAGGTCTTTTCTCCCATTCTGCAGTTGCAGAACACTGCCAAGAAACCGGTCATTCCATATTGTTCGAAAAACCAATATTATTTCTAAGAGCCCCTTCTTTTATTCCAGGAAAATCCGCGAATCTCTAGAGATCCGAAAAAATCCACATAATATCAATCGAGAGGAAGGATACTACTTGTCTCCCATCTGGAATCTCAGTCTAGAGCCGCCGTCCGGTCCCGCTACCATGATGCAGCCACATGATTGGCCAGCGTTCGCGCCACGGAGTGTGCCGATACGTCCCGACACGACAGGTCACCGCGACTATAAATAGAGCGGTAGCGGAGTAATCGTCGGATTCACTCCCCGCCTCTCGACGCGTTAGTGTTCTGAGCTGTTGGACGTGAATCCCTGTCCTGGCATTTGGTTTTCACCTCTGGCTGCGTTAAGTAGTTGAGTTACTGTGACCAAATGCCCATCTTGGTAGTTAGTATTCGCCTCTGGTTGCGTTGAGTAACTGAGTTACCGTTGCTAACTACCCATCTTCCTGTCTTTTGATTTCTTTTTCTTTGTTCTCCTGAAGAAGCTACATACAATTGTAGCGAAACGTCGAGATGAACCCACTTTTGGGTCACTCACAAATGACACGGTCCAAACCCGGAAGACGAATAAACTATAATTCTGACTCTGGCCGTGGAAGCCTACGATTTCATTAGGTAAAACAATATCAAAAGAATAAGGTTTTCATATTTTGGCCATGTTCAGGTCTGAAAATAGAAAACCTAATTGTTCTATTAGAAATAACAAAAAAATATATCAAAAATATTTATTTATTGGCATGTGGTTGAGTTTATGTATTAATGAGTTTATGGTTTTTTTCTTGAAAAATACAAATATTTTTCCTTAGCTCAATTTTGATCCAAAAAATCTGAAAAAAATCAATGGGTTTTTGGGCATTAAAATGCATATGTATGTTCTTGATTTTTTCAGATTTTACAAAGCAAAGGATCTCTGAGGAATTTTTTTTTCTTTTCCGAAAAACCCATTTTTTTTGTTCTCCTCTCTAGGGGACCCCTGGGGTCACCTAGAGAGCTGAAAATTTGGCTAAATGGGTTTCGAAATATTTACTTTCGAGTGCCCAGCCCCAAAGAAAATCCAGCTGAGTGCAGATTTTACCATCGTATCCCGCTATAGTTTAGAAGACGATAGTGAGTCTGAAACAGAACTGTATAATAGCGACAACGACGACAGGAACGACATATGAGGCAAATATATTTTGCTAAATTTTAAATCAAAGCCCTATTCTTTTTCATTATACGTGGATTTGTTATTTATTTTCCCACTACGAATTTTTTCAGTTCTTCAAAGGTTTATGGGTAATCAAAATTTGTGCAATGTAAGTAGGTAAACAAATTGTAAATATTTTACATAAACATTATTATAAAGAGTTTTCTTCGTATGAAAATTAAAAAGTGTAAATAGTCGTTTATCTATATTATCTAAATATTATCTTTAATGTCCTGTCTTATTAACAGGTTTTGTCACAAATTATTTAAAATTTATATACAATCGTATTCAATTACATACTAGTTTTATTAAATTACACCTTAATCCATCCGCATCGTACCTAATGCAGAATTAAACAATGAATTTCGATTATCTGACAATACAGGTATCCAGCTCAGCAACGAAGAAAATGAAGTAAGATATAAAGCTACAAAATCTGATAAATTAGATGGTTACCCAAATGGGATAATATGAAGAAATAAATATTTTGAAGTAGGCATGAAAACTAAATGAGTACAAGACAACAATGAGACAAGCTTGGCACAAGTAGAAAGAATGAATAATGGAAACAACACAAAAGAAAACATGTACTAAGAAGAGCAATTAGCAAAATTTTATATGATATGAAAAAAGAACAATAGCAAAAATAGTTTACTTACTGGTAAGTTCAAGAAGTAATCAGCTCTGTTATCGGTACAAGGATCTTCCAACAACATTGGCTTTACTTCAGGTAAACAAAGAGAAGGTGTACTGCTATCCAACATCGAAGTTTCAGCTGTCGATTCTTTGGGATCTTGGCAATTAAGCCTTGAACCAAAATTTCCAATGAAACTGAGAAGCCCTTTACCGAGAATTTTAGCTTCTAGCATTGATCTGGCTTGGTAACCTCCCATTAGAATAGCTTCAACTGCATAGTGATACTCCAAGTGAGTTGGGTTGAATTCTATACATAGTGTACTAAAATAAATGTTTGCGTTAGGTATATGTCAAGCACCATTACCTGTCAAATACTTTTTTATAATTTATTAAGCATATTTGTACATATATGTTACAATTAACATGCCTGTATCTCTGAAATAGTATAAGTATAAATAAATATATTAACATTACAGTTTATGTACTCATGTTCAACCGCGAAAACAATATACTGTAATAGAGTATCTAAATTGTAGGTGAGAAATGATGTCCATTCTGATTTTTATTCCTGGTGTTCCAGTGGCGTACAAAAATTGTTTATAATAGTAAAAGGTAGCGCTACTTGCATTTTGTAGATTATAGAATTCTTACAGAAGAATTTTTACAAATTATGTGTACTACTATTCTTTCCATAGCGCTAAGAAATTTCTAAACAAATATATGGGATCAGCCATAATGCAGCTGAATAATTTAGACATCTGATTATATGGACAAACAAAAAGGCAAAACTTGCATACAGTATTCTCAAATTGAATAAAATAATTAAATTTATCAAAATCAAATTTATGTGAAGATATTATTTAATAAATCATTTATTATATCAACACACAACTACACATTTAAACATAAAACAATAGATGCTTTAGTTTGCTTCCAAACACAATGTCACTTTTTTATTATTTGAGAATTCCCATTATAGTATTTATCAACAACTGGTTTATTGATAACCACTTTGTTGTTGCTATTACTAAAATACTTCAGTATTTCAGAAAATATTCTTACATTTACAGAAAGTCTAAAATCTGTAAGCCTACTCCCAAATAAATTCCGAGTATGATTAAATTTGCATTTAAACGACTTATTTTCTTACTATTTCCAAGCGACTTAATTACAATATATTATAAAAGTTACCTAAATATAATATATAACGCTAGACTAACTCACTCATCAATCCATCCTTTAAGTCGCCATTCTTTTTAATGTTTTTGAATGTCATTAAATTGTTGTACTGTAACTCTATAAACTTAAAAGACATTTTCGATTCTCACCTAGAGTCTTTCCAGGAAGGATCAAAAAAACATTCAAATAAGTTTAAATTACACATAAGTTAACGTTAAAATAAAATATACTTAAATTATAATTTGACACTTCCAATTCGTAATTATGAAAACAACTTTTAAAATACATATTAAATAATAACCTTGCATTGTTGTAATTTTAAAAATGTATTCCAAGGATAAGGCACACTGTATAATAGTGAACATAGAACTGATAATGACTGACCGACACAACATAAACGATGACGAGAAACGCATTAGTGGAGTAAATTTATAGTAACATTAAAAATATTGACAATTTTTTATAAAATTTCTTCACATTAAATACTTACTTGATCAATGAATCAACATTTCTAATTTTTTGATGAAATTTCCTAGAAATTGGAGGAATCTTTTCAGATGGACCTTCCCATAATAAGATCCATTTTGATTTACTCTCAGTTGATAGTTTACCTCTAATTCGAACAACTGCTCCTGGATTAAATATCTCATATATACATATATCACTCGGTACCAGTGATTCTTCAAATCTAAAAAAAAAAAAAATAAAAATTTTACCAATCCTTTAAAACAATAATTATTGCAGCACGTCATAGATACAATAAAGTCGCCAATCATTATTTGGGCTATTGCTAAGCAAAAAATTTTAGATATTTTCATAACAATTATCTTGTATACTGTTTTCTTTCAACTTACTAATATAACATAAAAACTACGAAAGTATCATTTCCAAGTTATAACCATATACATATAATACAAATAGACTAGCGCTGCAATACAGCGCGTTACACCAGTGCAACAGAGAAAAAAGCAGTCCCGCTACATCTCTTTCTAATGGGTCAGGTCAGGTTTATCGACCACGTGACCTTCTCATTGTTCATTTAGGTCACGTGGTCGATACACCTGGCAAATTAGAAAATGATGCAGCTGTCAAGCAGCGCTGTCTATTTGTATTATATGTTTATGGTTATAACCAACATACATATATTATTGAACAAACATAATGATGTAATATATTAAGAGGTTCTGTGGTGGGCATTTAATAAGTGAATTCCAAGTGAGTTAATGAAAATTATGTCGATATGTATAATGTAGTAAAGACTAGTGTTAGGATAAGTATAGGAAACACTGATAAATTTCATAAAATATTAGGTTTGACACAGTTTAATGTGTGAGCACACTGAATTTATTCTCATTAGTGTTTGATCGAATAACAGGAAAATTCCTTGAAGATTGATTATGCTGATCATCTGGAGTTAGTAGGAAATATTAAAAGGAAATAAGGGAAAAAGCCGGGAGCAATAGAGGGCAGATTCTGAAAAAAAAAATTTGTAAGTTTTGTAAAAGTATTGTAAGTTTAAAATGTTTGTCTATTATCTGTTTTACTAATTATGTTAAAGGGAACCCCCCATTAAGATAGGAAAAATGCCCTCACTCCTAGAATTATTATTTTTTTAATTTTAGCCGGCCACACCCACGGTTCGTAGACTTACGGTCGATTCAGACACATCAGTCACGTCTCGTCACAGTCCTGGCGCCGAACCGAACAATCCGTCATACAAAATATTCTTTAATAGAAATATGGCGCCGGCATTCACATTCATCAGGCGACGAACAGTTTCCCAGTTATCAGATAATTAATAGTTCGTTGCCTCTTCCGACTAACCAATGAACATTAGCCCGAAACTGTACTCTCGTGACGTAATTTGAATCGTAACATTATTATGACATTGTTAATCGGCGTTTTCATGTCTTTGATGTATAGAAAATAGTAAAAATAGTTATGAAATAAAGATGTTGTGGATAGTGGATATAATACCTAATTATGGAAAACTGTTGATATGTAGGCGGTTTGGTACTTCAGAATAAAGTTCTAGATTTACGTAAATCTAGGACTTCAATCTCCATTTTACACTGAAAATTTGTCGCATATACTGAATTATCAATACTGGATTAACTATTGAATGAATTACCGGCCCTTGGAGGTCAGCTAGGATTATCCGAGTTAGAATTACTTTTATAATTTAATGTAAGAATTTAAATAATATATAATAAATTTTAATTGGTAAAAAACGTAACTAGTGTATTTTATTTGCAATAGATATAAATATAAACTACATAATTATTTTTTTAAATATTTTTCTAATAAGTCTTAAATGATAGCTGTTTGTGTTTTCATTGCTACTCTTTTATCTCTTCTTGCTGTAGGTTCACATTTTGTTTGTTTTTAAACATCTTGAGATTTTAAGTTTTTACTCGGAATTGTGTGGTTTATTTGTCTGTCTATTCTGTTATAAAATAAAAATTTTAAATATCTTGCAGCCAGGAACAAGTTTCTACATAATTGATTTATACCGAGAAAGGAGCTGTTTATATGTTAAACATCCATATTATTATAAAAATCCTTTCACCCTATTTATTATCCTTGTGTATAAGAAAAATTAGAATCGTAAATAAAGCCCAAGCAACTAATAAAATAAACAAAAAAGACAATTAATTTCATTGACATTCGTCAATTTGATTAAATTTGAATGATCGTGTGACAGAGGTAGAGTTTAAAAATTTGAACAAACTGTAATTATGATGTCATTACGTCAGTTTGCTCAAATTAGTTTGATCAAATATTTGACCGTCTGACAGGGACTTTATGTAAGGTACCTACTCTACAATAGGTACGATCTACAACTACAATAAATAACTTTACTTCGTTAATTAATAATAAGTTTTTACAGAAAACAACAACAAATTTTCAAATACAAAAATAAAGTAAACTAAGATATTTCAGAAACGATAAATAATAAAGCAAATAATAACTGAAAGATAATTACCACGAACAAACTGTGCCAATAAATGGGTTTTCTATTCTTGTGACGTAACTCAAGCATCCCCACCCCATTCGGAAGAGGCAACCGTAGTAAGTCAACGAACCGTGGGCCACACCCATCGAGCAAAAAGACAAAAGAGGGAATCTAATCCTTATGAAAAGGAGACCAAAAAAGTGGCCTCTGATGGCGGACGTATCCGGAAATGCGAATGCGCCAAATTTAAATTTTCCGACACTTATTAACAGTAGCTATATAATATTTTTCAGAATGTGTCTTAGACGAGAAAGTTTTAATTAATTATTAACGATAATAGTCTAAAATGCGACACAATTGTTAGAAACCTTCAATATAAATAAGATTTCATGTGACATATGGGACAAACAATAACATAACCCAACTAAATTTGATGTCAAACAAGGAGAGAGACTCTCTTTCCTTGTTTAATGTGGCCTCTAAAGATCGTACTTCCTGTCTAACAATATTTGTGCCCCCACTACCTTTACATTTCCTCTTTTGTCTTTTTGCTCGATGGCCACACCCCTTCCCCTACCCCCTACCCAAAAAATGACATTTTTTCGTTTTTATTTATTTTTTTTTATAGGTTGCAATCAATTTAAAAATTTCAAAAAATTAAAACGTATAGTTGACACTTTTACAAAACTTGTCTATTTTTATAGAGCCGTAGGATGATTATATATAACCTAAAAACAAAATTTAATCTTTTTTTCGAAAAAAACGTACTTTTTTTTGGAGGTGACTGCAGGTCCAATTTTTTTTATTTTGTATACTTATTTGACCAAAACGATACATGTAACTTTTTTCAGGTTTTTCCGTATGTTATTTGTCGATGTCAAAATTTTTCGATATTGCTTTTCAGCAAAAAAAAAACAAAAAGATAACAGCAAAACTGCACCAAAAATTTAGTTGATAGTTTAATTTTATTTACTTATTATTTCACTTTATTATTAAGGACCAACATTTGCTTTCATTTTTTTAGTCGTCTTTGAGTTTTGGGCCAACAGACTTTTGATTAACTACATTAGAATTTGTCTTTGCCTAGTGGCGCAGCCATGATTTTCGTTTGTTGTAGCCTACACTCAACTAGGTACCCTCAAAAGTGATACACTAGAAAAGAAAAGAACTGACCTAATGCTATCTATGTTTTTTTTTAATTTATGATATTTTGATTTACGTTTATAAAATTAGATTATAATTTTTATAATTTGTGTTTATTATATTTCAATAGGTACATAAAATGTATTAATAAAAAATAGGCAAGAACATAAAATCTACAGTTCTTCTCTAAATATCTACAAAACGAAACATGCTAGGTATGATAAACCTTATACCAAAAGAAAGGTTGTAATATTTGAATGTTGTTCTTGATTTATTTTATTACATCTATACTACATTCTACAAATAATCATTTTTGAAAGTTTTAACATACTTATATTAAAAAATTTGTTCAAACTTACTCAACAGTAATATAATCTTCAGCTCCTAAACAATCATAATCTTGTGGTCTATAATTTGGTTGATAAGTTTTACTTTGCTTCCACCAGTTTCCATAGTTTTTCTACAATATTTAAAAAAAAATAAATATTAAAGCTATCTTTGAAATGATTGTGTGCAAGAATATGGAATCTGTCTTTGCATTTTCAAATGATTTCTTTAGCAGCCCAAAATCCTTAGATGGATGTAGACATACATAATAAGAATAATCATCACTTATGGCACTACTAACTTAGTCACGGAAAATTTATCCGGCCCTCCCGTTATTTATGCCGAGGTGGAGTATGCTATTAAAGTAAAAAAAAACTGTTCAAGTCCCCTGGACCGGATGGTATTACTATGGAAGCCATAAAACTATTGGAAGATGGCAACATCGACATGGTGTTAACAATTCTCAATGCCATATGTAACACCGGCCATATTCCAACGGATTGGCGTTTGATTGGATGCAAAGACCACAGACTGATCAGTTTAATGAGCCATTTGTTTAAAGTACCTAGTTCTTCGCATCCAAATCAGCGAGACTTAATTTGGGTTCAAGAGTGGACTAAGTACACGTGAAGCAGCTTTCTGCTTGAATAGTCTTGTACAAAACTGCATAGATCAACGAAGGGATATATTCATCACATTCCTCTATTACAAAAAAAAAATGTTACATAACACTAATATTGACGAGAAAGATATAAGATGAATCCAGAATTTCTATTAGAATCTGGTACAAAAAGTCTCTATTAGAAGGTACAAAAAATCCACCAGACAAAGTAGGGCCGTTTAAACAACATGAGTAAAAATCTGGCAAAGCTTCAAAGACTATCTTGTGCATTGATAGTAGGTGCAATGAGAACGTGCACATACTAGTAGAGAGTGTTAAAATGAAAACTATATATTATATAGAATGGCTAATGGAATAATCATTAGACCAATTAATCAATTAAACATTGATAGTGCAGAGTGTTAAAATGAAAACTACATATTATATAGAATGACTAATGGAGGAGTCATTGGAACAATTATTAAATTAGACTTTGATACATCCAGTATTAAAGCATACTCCAAGACACCACGCCAAAGAAGTATAACTTAATGAGCCATTTACTACAAAGTTAAGTTGCAAAAATGATGTCATACATTATCATCATATAAAATAACAATACATAAATATCATACAAACATATATATATATATATATATATATATATATATATATATATATATATATATATATATATACTTTATCTAATTTAGATAACGACTTACGTCATTATCTACGTCAGAGATCGAAGTTAACATAGTTGCCAAAGTATAAAAAAATCCCGACTCCATTTTAAATCAAATAGATTACATAATTATTGCAAAAGTATTACCATCTCTTTACAACGACTATTTAAATTTTTACGTGACATTTTTGAAATAAAACACACTAATTTTGTTCTAAAAAGAACAGATTTTATTAAATAGTTAAAAATATAAAACAAGAGATATTCGCTTTAAAATTCAAAATAATGAAGTACAAAAAGTGTGAACATCGCAACTGTCAAATAAGTGTTACCAATTTATGCCAAAATTTTACCTTCGTTCAATTACAGTTACAGTGTGTTCCGAACAAATGTTCTTGATAAAAACGCTTTATAATGCATTTATACAAATTAAATGAAACATATTATTGTGTATTTCTTCAAGTTAACATTAATAGAAATTTTTAAATATGATTTCTACGCGTATATAATGAAATATGTCTAGTGGCTGTAATGCCAGTGTACTCGGTAAAGTGATTGTAAAAAAGAACACACCTACACCCTAAATATTTTGTGTTGGTATCATGTGACGTCACAGGCTATGACGCCGATGACGTGCATCGTTATATAAATTAGATGAAGTGTATATATATATATATATATATATATATATATATATCTCAAATAATAATACTATCAAGTGGTCCAGAGATTTTCCAAAATAGCAGAAGAAACTGGGATAAGATTGTAAGGTCTAAAAATAAACACGTGATGCGGAACGAAGAAAAATATCGAATTCTTCAACTCGTTATGCAGGGTAAAGTATTTGGCAGAAGAGGACAGGGACGCTGTCGTATCTCGTGGTTGAAAAATCTCCGACAATGGTTTGGGATGACCTCAGCGGAGCTGTTTCACAGAGCAGTCAACAAAACCATGATAGCCTTGATGATCGCCAACATCCGGACCGGATAACGCACTGAAGAAGAAGAAGAAAAATAAACAATAAGAGTCACTGATTAAATGAACCAAGCAAGAAATATACAAAAACGCCTTTTATAAGACCAGAACACTTTTGCAGAACTTGCAGAAGCTTAATGCTGCCATGCCAAATTGAAAAGGAAGTAGATCAGAAAGGATATAAACATTAAACAATCAAAATTACTTATTAAAAATTATAATCATAGAAGATTTAAAGGTTGCATTAGTGTAAACAAATTTTTATTGAACAAAGAGAGAGAGAGAGAGAGAGAGAGAGAGAGAGAGAGAGAGAGAGAGAGAGAGAGAGAGAGAGAGAGAGAGAGAGAGAGAGAGAGAGAGAGAGAGGAGAGAGAGAAGAGAGAGAGAGAGAGAGAGAGAGAGAGAGAGAGAAGAGAGGAGAGAGAGAGAGAGAGAGAGAGAGAGAGAGAGAGAGAGAGAGAGAGGAGAGAGAGAGAGAGAGAGAGGAGAGAGAGAGAGAGAGAGAGAGAGAGAGAGAGAGAGAGAGAGAGAGAGAGAGAGAGAGAGAGGAGAGAGAGAGAGAGAGAGAGAGAGAGAGAGAGAGAGAGAGAGAGAGAGAGAGAGAGAGAGAGAGAGAGAGGAGAGAGAGAGAGAGAGAGAGAGAGAGAGAGAGAGAGAGAGAGAGAGAGAGAGAGAGAGAGAGAGAGAGAGAGAGAGAGAGAGAGAGAGAGAGAGAGAGAGAGAGAGAGAGAGAGAGAGAGAGAGAGAGAGAGAGAGAGAGAGAGAGAGAGAGAGAGAGAGATGAGAGAGAGAGAGAGAGAGAGAGAGAGAGAGAGAGAGAGAGAGAGAGAGAGAGAGAGAGAGAGAGAGATGAGAGAGAGAGAGAGAGAGAGAGAGAGAGAGAGAGAGAGAGAGAGAGAGAGAGAGAGAGAGAGAGAGAGAGAGAGAGAGAGGGAGAGAGAGATGCAGAGACACAGAGATAGATATATTAAGAAAAAAAGAGAGACATGGGGGGAGGGAACAAGAGATATTCAAAAATACTTATTAGTAACATTAATAATATTTTAAACAAATTTATTAATTTTAATTATAGTTCTTTTGTTTATACTTTGCAGGATATGCTGCAGAAAATGATAGAAGCTGGATCAAAATATTATATTTCTTTATCAGACACCCAAATGAATCAATTCATCTACATATAAACAATCAGTTGCTACTGCTGATGACTTAAGTGATTTTTAAAAGTGACTGTGTCCATTTAAAATATATCGGACATCTTCCCTATAGCCTAAGATCCCACTACAGGATCACTACATTCATAATGTAGTCAATCAAATTCATATTTTTGCATACATTTAAAATTAGTACAATAACATGTACAATACATTGATAATAGGTTGATAGTCAAAAAGTGACCATAAATATTTTTAATTCAATTAATAGTAATTATACCTCGAGGTTTTTCACAGATGGCAACACTAATTTTCAACCATTTTTTCTCAGGCAACCTTATATCATCATATATAGAAAATAAATTCGCTTTAATTTGATATAAAAAAACATGATGTCACGAGCAGCATATTTTATTTAAAAAAAAAATTAATGAAATAAAATATTTTCAAAATCTAATTACCATTAATTGAAATAAAAATATATGTGGCCTGTTTTTGACTCAACAAATACAATAGACAATAAATATCATATGAGCTTAATAAGACAATATAAAAAAGATACATACAGCAAAATTAATCCAATTCCATTCCATAAAATAAAGTCGAAAAAACATAGTACCTCGCCCACCTAATTCTTAGTTCCAGTTTTAAATCCCTGGTACATAGCACTCTTCTCATTTTGTTGAAATTTGCTCTAGCCTTTTCTATTCTTATTTTGATCTCCTGAATGTAATCATTTGTGGAGTTAATCATTGTTCCTAAAGATGCATATTTGTCCACTTGTTCGACATTGGTTCCGGTTATTAGAAGATTCTCCTTATTTCTTTGAGTTTTAGATATTCTCATAAATTTCGCCTTCTTGACATTCATTGTTAGACCATACTCTTTTCCATACTATTCTGGTCGCCAGTCTCTGAAAATCTTCAATGTTTTCGGCTAAGATCACAGTGTTGTCTGCATATCTAATGTTGTTAATGGGAACTCCATTTACCTTTATTTCAGCAGTTTCACCCTCAAGAAAGTTTTTCAGGATCCTTTCGGAGTATGCATTAAAAAGAATTGGCGACAATACGCATCCCTGTCTCACTCCACATCTAATTTCAATTTCTTCTGACAGCTGTTCGTTAACATGTACTTTTGCTTGCTGTTTATAGTATAAATTTGATATGACCCTGAGGTCATTGTAGTCAATCTTGTTTGATTTCAGGACATTCATTAATTGTTTATGTTGTACTTTATCGCGTTTTTACTGCAAAAACTTAAATAAAATATCCAATATAGATTTGTTTGAATAAGATAACAGGTTGATAGACTAATGTTAACCCTCCGTTAGTCGCTAGGAAAAACTGAGCATCAAGAGTCGCTACAGTGTCTGAGACTGACAATTACAAAAATAGTTTTTGCTATAAAATTGATACAAATATTTAATATTGTGTATAGGAATAACTGAAAAATATTTTATTGAAAAAAAAAAGACAAATACAAAATAAAAACCGCTAGTATAACAATATATTGTTAATATTGTTCTGAAGCTATTTTTTCTTTTCGCATTGGCAATACTAATTACTATTTAAATGGGACTAAGCCACAATTAAAGGTGTAAGTAAGTTTATTGACGTTTCAATTTCCACTTCGGGAATAGTTCTCAAAATACAAACATTAGTTTGTATTTTCTTGTATTGTTCTAACATTTCTCGGTGGAATAGCCTTTTTCCATCTAGTAACTCCATATTTTCCAATAAACGCTAAGGTATTGGTTCCACTTTCTTCTTCCTCATCTGTCACATCTTTTTTCGATTTACTTCAGCCATCAAGTTTCTTAATTTGATCGATTTTGTTTTCACTTCCCTCATTGTAAAATAATTTTCATGGTCGGTAGGAGCGATTTCCCATAATTCCACCAGGCGTTTTTGTTCGGCTTCAAAGGACATCTATAAATAAGAATTGACAAAAACTGACCGATAAAATGAAATACTAAGATGCTAAATATTTACCTGATCTGCAACTTATGCCAACAAGAAATAGCTACACCGTTAGTCGCTACAGAGTCTGGCACCGAAAATGACTATAAAATTCGCACAACTGTATCTAGGCAGGTAAGAATGTATACTAACACGAGTTTGGTTGATAGGGAAAGGTACAGAAAGTGGCGATAGAAAAATAACAGTTATTTGTAAATCCCGAATGAATAATTCTGTCATCAGTGTGTGAGACTGATAGCAACTAACAGAGGGTTAAGATAGATTAAGTCTAGATATAGGTTCTGTAATGATAAAGATGAATGTACTGTTATTATGTTACCCTGATTCATCATTTGTAAGGTTTTTATTATACTAATTACTAGAATATTAAAATATGTATGAAAATATGGCCTATTATCTCCCTCAGACAGCAAGACATTGTTGTAGATAGGATCTTCATGTTTGGAACTGATTCTATCAATTCTCAAAATTATATATAAGAAATTATTGCTGAGAATAGATTGAGAGACAATGAATTAACAATTAACTAAAACACAATATTTAATATATGACAGTTTTATCTTAATTGTCTAATGAAATTGCATTACTAACTTTTTTACTAATAAAATAACTTACCAAGCAATAACATTCAGGAAAATCTCCATAGGAAGGATACAGTTCATATTTTCCAACTAAATTACAAGGAGCATAATGGAAGCTGCCAATATGATTGTATCTAGAGGAATAGTCCTTAACTTTGTGTACATAATATTCTACTCTCCTCCTTGTAGAGAGATTTACTGCCTCTTTTGTTGTATTCATTTGGTTGAAGTAGTGTTATTAATAAATTCAAATCATCTATGTCATAAATCATATAGGATCATGAGAATGTATTGTACACTACTTGCCTTACATGAATTTTATAGAGTCACTATTAACTCTTTTAATTTGATAGTGATTAATTAAGCCTTCCTAAAACAAATTTAAAGAAAAGCTCAAGGCAAGTTACAGTTTAAGTGTTTTTTGATAGAATCGTTCTAAAATCAAGATATTGTCAACTCTTTTTGTTGTTAACAAAAAACGTGACTTATCTAATTTGCTAATTTGTGTGTTTTGAACTCCCTCCCTATCTAACTCTAGAACTAAAAGTCTGCAAAGTAACTACCAATTCGAGTTTAAAAGACGCTTTTGTGGTTTAATTTACATCAAGAAACTGATACGAAACTGCTTTAACATATGACAGTGTATAAAAAACCATATTTTTGCCTATTTTTTGTTCACATTTTATTTAAACGACTTCACGTCTCACGTCACATCACAAATCAGAATGTCAGAATTATTGACATCAAACGTTTTAAAACACGTGCAACTGACAGCGCGGAGTTGCCGAACTCACATTTTTTTATAAAAGTTCTGAAACTGTTTAAATGTGACATGTATGTTTATTATTAAATATTATATTTATATAGATTAAGCCGAAATTGATTGTAATCATTATTACATCTTTAACTTAAGTTTGACGTTATGATTTCCACCACGACTATCATTAAGAAAAAATTATTCTAAAATTCTTTGAAAATTGTTCGGTGTCCTAACCACAGAAGAATAAACAATCAGAATGCTCACCAGAGTAATGTTAGCGAACTGAGTATATGAACAGGAACAATGAACAAACTGTTGAAGCTTTGTTAGAGCAATTGCACACTTACGACATTCGAACAAATCGAACATAGCATGTATTTGAAATTAAAAACAAATTCTATATTTTGGGTAATCATTGTGTGAAAAACATAATTTTAATTATTTCACTGAAATAAATACTTAGTTTTTTTTTATAAAAATGGAAAGTATAAATTTAGTTTATGTTTTACTGCAATTGTTGAGTTACATGTACATAATTAAAAGTGATATTGATGTTGAATTAAGTAGAGTGTGGGGTCCTGGTTTAATTCCGGAAAAAATTGTAATGCCTGCAAGATATTTTTTTGTTGAATTGGTGGATATTAATAACAGGTTGGTTAGTTCATATATATATATATATATATATTATATATATATATATATATATATATTATATATATATATATATATATTATATATATATATATATATATATATATATATATATATATATATATATATATATACTGTGCAATTTATATAAAACCTTGGTTTTATAGAACCAAAGCTGATTTTGGTAGTACAATTTTACTGTTCATATAAAATAATTAAAATTTTTATAGGTCCCTGATATCAGAAGATATTGAATTAAATGTCATTGTCGATGGCGGCACTAAAATAAATAAGCCCTGTCGAATATGGACCAACCTGCTTAATAGGAAGGATGGCAGTTACATTGTTAGATACAAACTATATGAAACTTGTTCATACTTAAAAATTTCTGTCACCTATGGAAATAAACATTTAGGAAAATCGCCCTATATTATTAACAGTTCAGTTAAATCAGATAATTGTGAGTGTCCCACACACAAACTTGTAGATTTAATGGATATGTGGGAGTGTGGGCCAGTGCCTAAGTTTATAACTAACAAATTAGATGTATTTAAAAAGATAGATTGGCCTATACAGAGGAATGAAGTAGGTTACTTAATATTACAAATAATATAATTTTTACAAATTTTATTTTATTTTTTAGCTTATTAAGAAGTTTGACCAACCCCATTCTGTAAGTTTGTGTCATTATATTGTGAAAAATAACAAAATCTATAGAAAATGCTATGGAAAATATGTAGGTTTTAATATGTTTATAGATAATATATTACTGTCTTTGACAAGGAAAGTAGTTTTACCAGATCTTGAATTTTTTGCTAACTTAGGAGATTGGCCTCTGTCAACTCACAAGCTTGAAGGAAAATATCCAATATTTTCTTGGTGTGGAAGCACTGAAAGCTATGATATTATAATGCCTACTTATGACATTACAGAATCCACTTTGGAAAATATGGGCAGGTAAGGAAGGTATGGAAGAGAATTTGAATATTAAAACCAAAACTGTTTAAGTATTAAAACATTTTGACAAAGAAAATTATATAAAATAATAGATTTTATATGTACAGTCAAATGGAAACTAAATACACATGTACCACAGGTCTACCATAATTTACTAAACATTTTCTGTGATCATTTTTAATAACACATTCACAGTTATCTTCTAATCATATAAACATTTATCGCATGCCATTTTTTACACATTTGTTGCATATGGTGCTGACACTATTTTCTTGTGTCATTTGTATGTTATTTACAGTATTTAATGGGAATTAATCATGTTTGTTGAAAATATATTTATTTTTTTGACATTTCATTTTGCACTTTGGAAATCATTCTGAAAATACACATTAATTAAAGTATGTTGTTTTGTTACTTGGGAATACAAAAAATTATTTTAACTTAATTTGTTACATATTCTGATAAAGGAATATTTTATTAAATATTTACAGTTTTGTCAATAAAACTTTGTACATAAAAAAACTATGTGGGTATATTAGCTGAATCATTATATCATCTCTTCGCATGAAAAGTATACAATCTCCAAATGTTTACGAAATTGAGTTATGTATATAGAAACGCTCAGTATCATCAATATTTTCTATGGAATAGTGACAATTAATCGTAATTCAAGAAATATCCCCTAGGGAGCGCATTGGTTAGTTTTAAATTGGAAGGATTGTGCATCTGTTTCGCCCTAAAACTGTACAATTTTTAGTTGTGATCACGAATTGAAGAAGTGCGCACGCTGTTTCGCTTAGAGAGTATACAAAACCAAAATATCAACTTGAAGGTAAGCTTTGTGTTTCATTAATAGTATATAATTTCGAATTTATTTACTTTTGCTCATAATATTTTCAAACATTCTTCTATTTTAAATCATGTAATTTTGAAATTGTATAGTTTTCGTGAAAAACATTTACTGGTATCTGATGCAATCTTTATCAGTGTAATAATATATTTCCGTAATTGTATACTGTTTCAGATAAAGTTGAACAAAAAATTTATTTATATTCGTAATTGTATTGTTTTAATCACAAACTTTGCATCAGACTGTGTTTAATTATGATATTGTATTCTTTTCGACATATTATTTAACGTTAGTTTTCTGTTATGTTTTCTAATAATATCTGATAAAGTTATTTTTTACAGTTCCATATAATTTTTAGCAGAAGAGTATTTTTGGAAAAACTTAAAGAAAATATTAACGCCGGAAAAACATTAACCGAGTTAAAGGAAAATAGGAATGTATCTTTTGTTGATAAAATATTACATGAATCTCGCAGCTAAAACATAATCATTGAAGAGTTAGGTAAATACCTATAAATGTTTGAGTTGATTAGATTCTATATTACTTTTACAATTAAGATGCAGTAGTAAAAAACAAACCAATACACCTTAAATGCTAGTAGGAGCACTTCCGAATTATAATTTATAATGTGGAAATAAATAAATAAATCATAAAACTTCGGAAATAAGTATTTAGTATAATTCAATGTATATACATAATATATATACGGAATTTAATATTAGTTTTTTTATTCCAAAGAAAGACGCGTGTGAAGATTATACTGCTTACAGTAATGCTGTTGGAAGTGAAAAAGAAGTAATGAGAAAGGTATACAAAGACCACATAAACAAAAAAGAATTATCACAGTAAGAAAAAGACAAAAACGAAGCTCAATGTAGATCATCGCTAATCGTTGCTGTTTATGATCTTCAATTTGACAGCTGAAATTGCTGTAAATGATGCTCATTGCCTTATTGAAACGGCGAAATTTCATTTTTTTATTACGTCTAGAAATTAAATGCTTAAAATTTTACCATCTTCGATTTGAAAACAAAAGATGTTGAGTGTTTTTTCTGGCATGAGTAGCAAGGCCACAGAGAAGCTAACGAGATATGCGTTTAAAAGCATATCCAGGAGTTATCTCCAAGTGCAAATTGAGATATAGACATTTAAGAAGAGAATAACATGAAGAAGGGTTTACTGCAAAAAACAACCATACTTGGTTATTATCTTGGATTCTATGAAAATCTTTGAAAAATTTTCCCATTCCTTTCAATTTGTTTTTACTTTAATTGATTGTTTGTATTTAATAGTAAATGTGATTTTGTTAAATAAAGAGTTTTGCCTTCGGTACACTCATTTTTAAGACTAAGGTTCATTGTAAGGTTAATTTTTTTTGTACGTTGTAAATTTTTACGTTTGTGTCATATTACTATTTATTATAATATTTTGGAGAATAAAAATTTGCTTATAATCCTAATTTTTCATTGGACAAACCCTATTTTATCATAATAGTACTTTTCAAACATCTGTATAATAATGAAAATTAATAATATTTTCTCTGAAAAAGTAGCAAAATTCAAAACATCTTATTTAAAAAGAAATTATTGTTATTATTTATATGGTGGAAATATTTTCATGTTTTTTTTTCAACATAGAAAGGATACAACTCATACAAACTGAACCAAAAACCTGGTAATGTTTATTGTGGAAAATTTTATTTAGCAATAAATCTTTAAAATGCTCTCCTGAAAAGTTTGTAAATTTTGAGATTGTACAGTTTTCATCCGAACGGACGATATTTTAAATCGGAGCAAGTAGACTTTCTTTTGCCATATATCAATAATATATAGGTATTGTATTAGTTATTCATTGCATACATTTATAGTTCCTTCCAGGATGTGTGACTTCATGTTAATAGCCTTCATTTTTATATATTATGTACTAATAAGTTTTATGTCTTAAACTTGGTTCCTAAGATCTTGCTCTTTTAAGATAAAATTTTCTTGTTGCTTCGTTAGCTAGTTTTACCAAAATATAGTGAGCCTTTTTTTATTGTTTGGAAGAGTAATTTGTGATTGTCTAATTACTTACAGAACATGTAGATGTCAAAGGGGTTGATTGGCATTATATACCTTTATACACAATGATTTAATCAATATTTTTTGGTTATAAGATATATCTACATTTACTTCAACAGATCTAAACATCTGGCTAATTGGTCGAAACCAAACCCATTAATACCAGGAAACTTATTAGGTAATCATACTCAACACCTTAACTGATTTCTTAAAAGTTGTTATAGGTATTTTAAATAACTCCAAACTGTTGCTGTGTTCATTGGCAGTTCTTAGAATTCTTGTAATGGATTTATTTTGATCATAGTTTGTAGTTTGAAATGGAATGCTGACAATCTCAGTATTACGAGTTCTTCTAGTATTAACATAAAAACTTATTAAACTTAGTAACTCTGGATCTTCAACATACCCTTTCATAATCTTATGAAGGAAACACAAATTTGCTTCAAACCTTCTATGATGTAGTGACAAGATATTAAGTATTAAACATATATCATCATATGTATAATTTTGTCTAATGAAACCAATCTTTTAAGCACATTCCCTCAAAAATTTATTTTGAACTCTTGTACTGTACAGTACTGTAGATATCACTATTATGTGAAGGAGACCAAATAAGAGAACCATACTCCAAAACCAATCAAACTAAACTACAGTACAACATTTTTAAAGTTTGTACTGAAAACTGATTACAATTTCTAAGAATAAATCCCATCTTTAGTTAAAGTTTCAATAGGATATTTAAAGGTTAATTTAGAATCAAAGATTTTACCCAAATCTTTGATATTATTAGATGCCTCTAAAGGAACATTATTTATACAATAACAATAATTTACCAACTCCTTTGATCTACCGAAAGTTATTTTTAAACATTTTTTTATATTTAAGTATACCGTATTTATGACACACTAACTAGCTAAGCTTTTAAGATCAGTTTGTAACAAAGAGGCATCAACTAGGTTATTAACTAATTGAAAAATTTTAAGGTCAGTAAACATTAGAAAATTACTACTTTTAAAAAGGCCTGTTTCGGATACTTATAAAACTTATTTACATCTTAAACTTATGACATCTTAGACAACTTATGCTGGATTGAAATTTATTTGCATCTTAGAGGTGTATATATGTTTTATAGCTGTTACTGACTAATAAGTTGTAGACTTCAGCATTCGGTACAGCTTGGCTGCATGGGGAAATATTTTGATCAATCGAGGCATTTTCAGGCCGAGAAAAAAAAGTTGCTATCTGTTCTGCTTGAAATACATGGGTATTTCCGAGAGCTATTGGCAGTTTAGTGTTAGAACTAGTAACCTCTATTACTACTTCCTCTTGTGTTTTTTACCCATTAGTATAAAACATGTTTCAATGTCTCTTGTCATTTGTGTGGTTTCGTTTTTTCAACTCACACTTATCTGTGATAATATTTGTTGAATATAATAGATCATCAGTTTATGTTTTGTAATAATTCCAATCAAAATGCCTGTAGTATTAGTCAGTTTATCATTATCTTATTTATATAGAGGTTCAATTACAACAAATTTAAGAATGTTAAATATTCACCACAAACAAAACCATTGAATATGGTATGTACAGCGTTTTTTCTAAACTAGTATAATTATTATTATGTATTATTTCTGCACTAGCTACACCATTTTTCAGACTATTTATTTTCACTAAAATTTCATTTATTGTAATTGATGTAAAATAAAATGATTGAGAAACTAGCTGTGCTGAAACCTGGTTAATCTTTTCTGTTAATTTTTTCTGTTTCTCTGTAGAAATTCTTTCATCCTAGAACATCTTAGTATTAATACACCTGATTATGCTGCTGAGTTGGAAACGGGAACAGTCAAAATTTCTTTCGCAATTTTCAAGCTTCCTTTAAATTGGTTCATCAAGCTATCGGAAATGCATGATTTAAGACTTCCTCTTTTTTTTCTGCGTTTGCTTCAAATGACTTGTGTAAATAAGAACAAATACAAATATGTCTCACAAATTAAGCAGTATTTTGAAATATTAGACTATGAATTAATTCTCTTGGGATCGTAACATTTCTGATTGGCTGTTAAAAAACAAGAAAAGTATGTTAAAAAATATGTGGAAACGTTTCATTAGGAAGACATGCAAGCATTTTCCCTATCAACATTCTCAACTATTTACAAAAATTTATCCGTAGATACCACTGTACAGCAAAATACAATCGTATCATGGCGCAACTTAGAACATCTAATCGCTACTTATTAAAATTTACCTAAAATGGTATTGTTACGAAAAATTAAAAAAAAACATAAAAAAAGCTGATCTCTCACCAAGACTTAAGGATGACCACGTTGCTCAGTTTGGGAGCTTTATTGGGGAAGAGTAAGGATATAGACATATATGATAGAGTAGAGACATAATATATCAAAGACAGATAGATAATAATAATAGTGATGGGAAAATGCTGAAGTGTTCGTAACAAATTGTTTACCAATCGACTGATGTTTAATAAGGTATATTTCGCATTTTAATTATTGTGTTGCATTTTTCAATGCTCAGAGAGTTATTTAGCAAAAGACAATCATAGGTTTCTGAACTATCAAGGAATATAAAATCGACTGTCTGAATTGGCCTTGGAAGTATTAGAACTGGGCAGTGGAAGATTGACAAGATACCCTATTTTCGGACAAATCCAGAATTGGACTGTAATCAGACAACCAGCGAGTTATAGTTTTGAAAGTTCGTAGAAGGCAAATTAGGTTCCAAGTTACCCAATAGGTACCCAAATTTAAAGAAGGAACTATAGTATGACAAGCTTGAACATGACACAGGATCTAGTCTGGAACCCATTGTAAGGCATAGTACGTCTGGTAAGCCCATAGCACTTCTGGAGAGGTGCTTTGGCACTTTTTTTTATTTACTTTCATAAACGTACAGAGTTGTCAATATTTTTTTAGACATTGAAGGCGTGACTTTTTTACAATGGCTCTTTTGTTTACCGGAATATATATCTCTATATTATAAACATGGGCGCCGCCAGGGTTATTTTCAGGGAGGTGCATTTGCATCTGCACGTACTATTAACCAATATAAAATATAGAACTATACATTTATAGCTATATATTTTCTTTCCGGACAGGGGGTGCAAGTGCACTACGGTCCCGGCGCTCATGTTTATAAATTATATTATAAATTTATAATTATCTTCCTTTCAGGGTCACTTTGGATATTCTTTCTGTACAAGGAAATACGGATGAACGTTGGGAAAATATAATTCCAAAATTGTTTTGGCGAGGTAGAGACTCCAATAAATATCGCCTGGAGTTAATAAAAATAGCTAGGAAATATCCAGATCTGCTAAACGCTTCCTTGACGAATTTCTTTTTTTATAGAGATGAAGAAGCTATTTATGGACCAAAAGCTGAACATGTTTCTTTTTTTGAATTCTTCCGTGTAAGTATTCATATATTTTGAACTGATCATCAAAACATAAGCGTTCATACAAACAACTAACGTTTAAGTTTGCTTTACAGATGTTCTTCTACGGCTCGTGTAGAAGCGTTGGTTTTTGTCCATTCTTTTCCATTCTCTCATTAAATGTTCATTGTAACTTCGTATCAATTTTTTCTATTAGATCTGTCAAATGAAAATTAGTTTTTTTGGTCGTCTATTTTTTTCTGCTTTTTATTGTGTCTATACGTTTAACACCCTGAATGTAATGCCTTGATGGCAGTGGTATGAGTATCAACTTACTGAGCGTAAAAACTGTCTGGTTCTCGGGAAGAGAAGGTAATTTTTATTAAAAAAAACATCTCTTTATTGGATTGGCACACACGAGGTGCTGCAGTCGTTCGGATGTAATAATTGTTTCTTTGTAAAGACAATGAAGCCGATTTAGTAACAAAGAAAGTTAATTGGCTGCAGTACGACATAAAACATACTATTCCCATCCCCAGAATTTTCCTAAGCAATATAATTTCACAGTCTTTAATATTTTTCTTTAATGGATAATACTTTCAATTCAAAGAAGATATGCTTTTCCTTTGTATTTGTATAAAACTACACACTGTATAGTGTGTATAGGAGAATACAAGAACCAAATCGACTACATATTGATTAGAAACAGATGGAAGACATGTTTTACAAACGTAAAAACTAGACCAAGAGCTGAATGTGGATTCGATCATAAATTGTTATAGGCTTGCTTCAAGATGAAGCTAAAAAGAACAATGCCGCACCAAAATCAAAACAGGCTGGAGATTTCAAATCCGAAAACATTTAGAGATGCATTAAAGAAAACTAGTATGTTGAACACACAAGACAACCCAGAAGAAATGTAGAAAGGTTTCAGAACTGCCATAGAAACCTCTGTAGAAAGAACCAGAATCGAAAAAAAGATCATAAAAAACTGGATGACAGACAGAACGCTGCAACTTCTCGAAGAGCGAAGGAGAATCAAATCTCTCATATATCAAAACAACAACAAAAACGAATTAGCAAGCTTAAATAGAGAAATTAAAAGAGCATGTAGGGATGATAAATATAAACATATAAATGAAGAATGCGAAGAACTAGAGAGATATGCAAACCGGTATGAATCGTATGAACTATATAACAAAGTCCGATATCTATCCAGGGAATTTAAACCAATCACACAAACAATAATGGATCAAAACCAACATATTATAAATGACGAGAAAGGGATTGCGGAAGAATGGAGAAAATATTGTCAAAGTCTATATGCAGATGATCCCCAGAATGCAAATCACGATGAGTTCACTGCAGAGAGAGAACCAAACATTCTAAAGTCAGAGGTAGAAAAAGCAATCAATAATTTGAAAAATAGAAAATCTCCTGGCGCAGATGAGATCACCGCAGAAGTTTTAAAAGAGACTGGAGATGTTGGAGTAAATGTTATGCATATGATCTGCAAAAAGATTTGGGAAACCGGAGAGTGGCCCAACGACTGGGCAACATCCACTTTCATCCCTATATTCAAAAAAGGAACTCCGCTATATTGCAGCAACTATAGAACGGTAACCTTAATATCCCATGCAAGCAAGGTTCTACTTCATGTAATACATGAAAGATTAAAAGCTTTTCTATTGCCTCAGATATCAGAAGAACAAGCGGGATTTGTCCCAGGAAAAGGCACAAGAGAACACATCCTTAATATCGGACAGCTAATCGAAAAAACTCGTGAATTCAATACACCTATGCTTAGGTGCTTTGTGGATTACACAAAGGCCTTCGATAAAGTGAAATGGCAGCAGCTATGGTCCATACTTGAGGAAATTGGAACACCCCACCACTTAATTCAACTAATTAGAACTCTATATGAAAATAATAAGTGCACAGTAAAAATAAACAACACCCATTCCGATCATTTCAGAACAGAGGCAGGTGTCAGGCAGGGATGCATAATCTCGCCAACTCTGTTTAATATCTACAGAGAACACATTATGCGAAAGGTACTAGACGGATGGAAGGGCGGAATATCAGTAGGAGGTCAAAAAAGCAATAACTTGAGATATGCTGATGACACTTTAATAATTGCGGCAAATCAAGAAGAAATGGAAGACATAATGAGATGTTTGGAGGAAAAAAGCAAAACATAGGGACTAAAGCTAAATAGGAGTAAGACAAAGATCATGATAGTAGACAGAGCTCGGAATAATCTTCAACACATTAAAGAAATTGGGGGCTTTGAAGTAGTAAATACTTTCATATACCTGGGGTCCCTAATAATAAATGACGGAGGGTGTGACAGAGAAATACGTAGAAGGTTGAATGAACAGCTATGATGAAACTGATAGCAATTTGGAAAAATTCTAGCATAACAATACACACAAAACTAAGGCTGGTAAGGGCGCTCATTTTTCCCATAGCCACATATGCATCCGAAACGTGGACCTTAAAGAAAGCGGATAAAAATAAACTGAACGCTTTTGAAATGTGGGTATCCGCCGCATTTTGAGAATATCCTGGATTGATCATCGCACTAACGTATCGATATTAGAACAACTTAAAGTAAAAGGATATATTGCTTAAACAAATACAACAGAGATATTTGCAGTATTTTGGATACATTGCTAGAAGAACAGGTACGATGGAAAACTGATAGTCGAGGGTAGAGTTGAAGGAAACAGATCTAGAGGGAAGATCTCCAAGCCGTTGGGTAGATCAAACAAAAATATTGATTAACCAAGGGTTACATGAAGCCGAACAACTAGCCCAGGATAAAGCAGGATGGAGGGAAATCGTGAAAAAACTGTAAAGGCCTGATGGAGCAAAACATCCCAAAAGGGATTAGGACTGAGGAGGAGGACACAATGTATATAAGACCAGGAGTCTTCTATGGCAGTGGACTTTGCAAAATGAACCAAAGAAGAAATATATTTTGGAAGTTTGGGAAAAGAAAAATTGCTCAGTAAATTATACGAAGAAAATAATGATGAAGATTTATGGATAAGGAAGACCATCATTGAACTGTTGCAGTTGTAGGCGATACCAAAATAACAAATAAAATATGCGCACAAAGATTACTTTGACTGGGATATACACAAAGACTTTCTACACAAAACAGAGAATAATAAAACAAGTACTGAGAGGAGGTATCACCGGGAGATGATGACGAGAGGGACTTAGAACAAAGTGGACTGAAGTGAACTAGCCGAAAATCAAAAGGAATGTAAATGTGGCACTACAGTTTTGGGTGGTAAGACTGGCTACACTAAACAGAATAATGAAACAACTACTGAGAGGAGGTATCACCGGGAGATGATGAAGAAAGGGACTTAGAACAAAGTGGATTGAAGTGTACTGGCCGAAAATCAAAAGGAATAGAGATTTGGCAATAGAGTTTTGGGTCTTCTTGCTCTATAAAATTGTTTTTAACACTTCTAAAACTTCATTTTAGTTTTGTCCCATCATGCTGTTTGTTTTTACTGTTTTTAGTCTGTCTGTTTTGGCCACTAGTTTACCATTTATTCGATATTTTTGAGAACCTAAAATCAGTTAATTTTTTACTATCTTTTGCAGTATAAATATCAGCTGGGTATCGACGGCACAGTGGCCCCATATAGAATGCCTTATCTATTGGCAGGAGGTTCCTTACTTTTCAAGCCAAAGTCGAAATACTTCGAGTATTATTATTCAGATCTAGAACCAAATGTTCATTACATTCCACTTAAAGAAGACATTTCAGATCTTATTGAAAAGTTAAAATGGGCTATTGATAATGATGAAAAAGCCAAAGAAATTGCACAAAACGGCCAAGCGTTTGCGAATGACAATTTATTACCAAAAAATATTTTTTGTTATCATTTTCATCTTTTTAACGAATTTAGTAAAATTATTACTAGTAAGATAGATGTTTTAGAAGATATGGAGTTAGTGCAACAAAAGAAGGTAGAAGAGTGTGACTGCAAGAGTCCAAAAGATGAATTATAATTATGTGATATAATTTCCTATTTTTTAGAATCTCCCTTAGAGTAATACTCAATATTGTAAAAATTTACTTTATTTTTTAAAAAATAAAATTTTATTCTATATCAGTCTTTTACTGCATGTTTTCTATAATAATTATAATAAGAAAAGTACTAGCGCGGATCTTGTAGGCTTATTGATTAACAATATATACATCCTTTCATATCATCTCTCTCTCTCTCTCTTCAGTCTTGACCCCCTGTAGGGAGTGCAGTGGTCGTCGTGATATCGTGTATGGTCTGTCTCCAAAGACTTTTGCCTCCGATCATTTCAATTACATCGGGCATAAGTCTTTTGGGGGGGTCGAAAGAAAATGCAAAAAAAGTATTTTTGAAGTTTGTATATTTTAGGCAATTCCTAGCTGAGCGCTTTCGGCTTTACAAAGCCATCATCAGAGCTATGCTACAATAAAATGTTCTTATAAGTACTAATTGGTAAAGATTATAATTTTTAACTTACGTCAATTTTTTAAATACCACTACAAAGGAGAGATCTCATTTCCTTATATTTCAAAATTATGATTTTTTTTAGTTGTTGAAATTCTTAAAACATATAAAAAGCCGACACTGGACTTCACAAACACGTTAAAAAATTGAAAAAATTTTTGTCATGGTACGGGTGTAAGAACCCGACCATTGATTGATGTGAGGATGTAGACAGAATAGAACTAATGAAATCAAATGTCACGATTTTTCAAAAGTGGACAGTTGACAAATGTCATATATAGGAAATAGAGATTGTTTTTTAAATTCTTACAAAATTATTTAATAGTTCGGAATTACTAATAGTCATCAAAGACTTTCTAAAAATTAAGTTTTTAAATTAAATTTTATGTGTTCATCACATCATACAGAATGACATTAGTTTGTAAATTCACTCAAGTCATTGCTCAAGGTCAATGTATGTTCAATCTGACAGCTATCCTTAAGAAACAAGGGCTCAAATTGTTCAACAACAATATAAAGAAGAAACATGGTATTAATGTTACGTTATCTGATACTTAAGTGTATTGAGAACTGTATCTCTTGATGGAAATTTGTAAGAAATTTGCATAAAATTTTTTTTTTTTTTGCATAAAATTTTTTTTTTTTGTGTTGACATGTATAAGTCTTTTACAACTTCCTGTGATCTGGTCAATTCATCGCGTTGAAAATCTTCTTCGTTGTCTTCGGCCACATTTCTACACTGTCCATGTCTGAGCTCATGACATGTCCAAAATATGTTAATTGTTGCAGTTGGATTTTGCTGGAGAGTCTTACTGATCTTTAGTTATTTTAGAATAGAATTATTTTTTGTATGGTTGTTCCATGGAATTCGCATCATTCTTCTCCAGCAGAACATTTTTTCAGTGACGTCTATCTTTCTCTTTTTTGATTGCCTTAGTGTCTGAGATTCACTTCCATGGGTCAGTACTCAAAATATTGAGGAGTTAATCAATCACATTTTTGTCTTTCCATATTTTGGTCGTCTTCCGTAAGCGATCTTCTCTAGACCATATCTACAGCGTGCATTTGCATCTGCACATACTATTAACCCTGCATCACTCGCGCTATGAGTATTTCTCTCACACCTACCAGTAAAATGCAAATTTTATTAACGGTAAATCACGCATACTGCTACCCCCACTTCTAGCTGAGTTTCTAAGGGTCTTCGTTGTTACGCTTGAGCGCATGCAATATTTAGTGCATGTTGGTAATAGATATCGGGCACTTGTCGATCGTGTGCAGATCTCTGTGAGAATTTCTCTCATCGCGCAAGTTCTAACGTAGTATATTTTCTTAAGGTTGAATAAAGTTTTGGTAAGTAAATTTAAGATTTTTTTATACATAACTACTTTATTTGCTTTTTAAATAAGGTCAAGGTGTTCTATTATTGTGGTATTGTTATTTTAGATAGTAAACAATGAGTAGAGGACTGACGCTTGCAGAATTAGGGCGAATTCGATATGAAGAGGCACAAAGAGAAGGTATGTCAGCTAACATACCATGGAGTGGGCAAGAGGAATGTCAAAATCAAGAAATTATGGAAGATGGCGGACGAGTGGATGTTGAAAGTGACGCTTCCAGTGAACATAGTATGCATAATACCGATTCCGAACAATCTGATGTAGAAGTTGAAAATTTTGTTTATGAAGTTGACGATAATCCCGCATATACATCAAAACATCATTTCACTGGTAAAGACAAAAAAACTCACTGGATGGCTTATCCTCCACGACCTAACGTAAGAGTGCCTACAAAAAATATTGTTAGTCATCTTCCCGGAGTAAAAAATATTGCAAAAGATGCAAATACTGTCGAAGCATGCTGGGAATTATATATTACAAAAGAAATGGTTGAAGAAATCGTACAATGCACAAATATCTATCTAGCAAAATACGAGGTAACTATACGAGAGAAAGAGATTGCCGTGACACAGACGCTACAGAAATATATGCTTTTATCGGCCTCCTATACATGGCTGGGGTACGAAAGGCTCAATATCTAAATACTAAAGAACTTTGGGCTGATTCAATATTTGCTCCTGCTTGCTTTAGACTAACGATGTCACGAGAACGATTTCATATTTTAGGAAGAGCACTAAGATTTGACAATATCAATGACCGAAACGAAAGAAAAAATACGATAATTTGGCTCCATTCGAAACATATTTGAACAGTTTGTGTCCAAGTGTCAAGAAAACTACCAAGTTGGAGAGTATTGTACAGTGGATGAAATGTTGGAAAGCTTTAGAGGGCGATGTAAATTTCGGCAATATATAGCCAACAAGCCGGCCAAATACGGCATTAAAATATATGCCTTAGTTGACTCAAGGATGTTTTATACCTGCAATATGGAGATATATGCAGGAAAACAGCCAGTTGGCCCTTTTTATCTAGACAACTCTGCATCTGCTGTTGTTATGCGTATAGCAAATCCCATATTAAACACAGGTAGAAATATAACTATGGACAATTATTTCACGTCAGTGCCGTTAGCCAAACAATTACTTGATAGGAAAACTACACTTGTTGGTACCCTAAGGAAAAACAAGAGGGAAATTCCGCCAATATTTATAAATGTGAAAAGACCTGTACCTAGTAGCATGTTTGGTTTCCGAAAGAATACTGTATTATTATCGTATAAACCCAAACCTCAGAAAAACGTATTGATGTTATCTACATTTCATTCTGGGGACTACATCGATCCTGAATCTGGCGAACTGGAAAAACCTGAGATCATTACATTTTATAACCTAACAAAAGGAGGTGTCGATGTGGTTGATGAATTAAAATCAACTTATTCTGTTTCCAGATATTGTTGCCGATGGCCACTTAGAATTTTTTTTACAATTTTGGACGTTGCTGCTATTAATTCCAATATTGTATATAAAAGTAATACCGAAGTTATTGAAGAACGTAGAATTTATCTCAATCATCTGGCCGAAGCTTTGATTAAACCTCTGTTGATTCGTCGTTCATCGATCAGGTCTTTGCCAATTAATATTCGAAGCATGCTAAGGGAATATTTAAATATGCCTCAGATTGAACAGAACAGAGAATCTGTTCCAGATTTCGGTGGATTTTGTCCAAGAAGAAAGAACAGGAAGTCAAAAAAACGATGTGTTAGCTGCAATGTTGCCATTTGCACGGAGCATACCACCTTCACATGTCCAACGTGTTCTGGCGTAAACGATAATAGTGGTACTTCAGATGATTAAATTTTTGATTAATATTATGTTTATTTTATCTGATTTAAGGATAACATTAATTTAAAGATAGATGTAAAATAAAATATACAGGGTATTTTTTTTAGTTCTTAGCATTGTATAAGTTTTCTTTTTAGTATTTTTAATGTACTTATAACTCTATTTTTGGCATTTATTTTAAATAAACCCTTTTATTATTACCAATAGTTTTGTTTCATTTGCATAAAAAAAAATAAAAACAGTTACACCGAACAAAATCTTGAAGGGTTCGTCGTGTGAGAGAAATTCTCACGCGCGAGTTCTCGCGTAATTTTTTAAGGCGCGAGTGATGCAGGGTTAACCAATATAAAATATAGAACTATAATATATATATATATATATATATATATATATATATATACTATATATTATATATACTATATATTATATATACTATATATTATATATACTATATATTATATATACTATATATTATATATACTATATATTATATATATTTATATATTATATATACTATATATTATATATACTATATATTATATATACTATATAAATTGCATTAACCAGTTAGGATTACATTTTACAACTAGATTTACAGTATTACAGATCTATGTAAATAAATTTACATAGATCTGATTGGTTGTTCTTTTTTCCAAATTGGTAGAAAACTATTTGATAAACCATGTTCTAATCAAACCTGGGTAAAGAAGCAACCAAAAAAAATTGTCACAATTTTTAAAAACCAATCAAATACTCAGAACTACATAAATTACAAAAGAACATTAACAAGAAGCAAGAAAGTCATTTTAAAAGCTAAGAGAGAATCATGAAAACTTCTAGGAAAGACTAACAAAAAAATCTATCCTTTAAAATATCCTTAACTCCTAATGTTATCTTTAAAATATCCTTTTAAAGGATATTTCAATACAAATATCCAATATGCAAGATCCAATCCAAATATGCAAGAAAATTAACATACATACATTGAACATGAATTCCAATCGAGTAACATCCAACTCCCAATTCCAGTGATAAAAAAAACAGAAAAATAAAACATGTATGTCTTGGAGGAAGTTTATTAACTAATTTTCAGTTAAAATACTCTCTTATGAAATAGCGCATAAATATACTGTTTAAATATATATCTAAAGAATAAGTTTTAAGTACACTTTGGTGGACCAGCATTTATATACAATGCAAACCAGCTTTCCACACATAGTTTCAAACAGTATATAAGTCATATAACCTTGTTAAAGGTGGTATACATTAAAGACATTCTTTCATGCATAGAACATTTAGAGATACAAAAACACTAAACATATTTTATGTGAAGAAATAAAGTTCTCAAATTTTTTAAATCAATTAGAAATTTTTACTGTATCCAGCTTTGTCAACATTCATTAAAATTAATTCCAATTCATGCAGAAGCTCCCTTTTCACGGCATCTGGTACCATAGACCTTGCTTTTGGTGTAATTTGAGATATTAAGTCATCTACAGTTGGGGGGTGTTTTTCACCACTTTCCAAAATTGCCTTACGACAAGCTAATTTCACCTGATCTCTCCAGCCACTTTCAATAAGCCTAGTCTGAACTAATTCGGTTACTCTAAAAACGTAAAGGGTTTTATGCAGATTACGTTTTCTATAAACTTAAGGGTAACATACCTTTCCAAACCATGATTAATATCTAAATGCATGCTAACTTTTGAATCATAATCTTGAGGCATCTTTAAGTTAAAAAAGTAAATGTAATTTTCAATGTTTTGTTGGTATTCTTTTTTAAAAAGAAAATAGAAATTAACAATATAAACACTTAAACACAAAATCGTAACAGCAGTCAGACGAAATGTTCACAGTTCAAGCAAGTTCAATTTAAAAAATATTTTTGTCAAATAAAAAATAAACCAGAATTTTTAGTTTGACATAAGTCAGTTTCTTGTTTCTTTATTCCACGGAACAGGACAACATCTACAAAAATTTTGCTCCGAAATATTGGAGTTTCTGAAAAGAACCGTTCAATTTTTCCCACGTGCTAGAATGTCAAAGTTGACGTGAGTATTCTAACCTAAATTTATAAACAAATGGAATCAAATAATGTAAAATAATTATTTTAATACAAGATGCAAGTCTCAGATCCCAATAACGTTAAAATATATAATTTAAGTGCTGGGAAGTCACTACCGGAGGTAAGTAAAATTAATTTGTGAGGCATAATTTTTTAAAACTCAAGTTTTTAGTGGTTATCTGAAAGAAAAAGGAGGGCTTTATTAAAGAAAAATGTTGATATTAGAAGACGTATTGAACTTATTCAAGATTTTGATATGCCAGGACTTAGTTCAGCAGTACGAGTATCTAAAGATGGACAGTATATATTAGCGACTGGTATATATAAACCGAGAATAAAATGTTTTGATGTGAATAATTTATCCTTAAAATTTGAAAGATGTTTTGATTCAGAAGCTGTTACTTTCCAAATTCTTAGCGATGACTATAGCAAGGTACTTACTCCATGATTTATTTGTAGAAGCTGTATTAATTCTATCTAAGAATAAAATCCTGACAACTAATAGTTTTCTCCACTTCCCCAAAATTTATTACAATTTATTATCACTAGAGCTGTTTCAGCTGAGTGTAATTCTGTCTTTTGCATTACTTTCTTAAGTAATGCAAAAGACATTGTACTAATAACTTTTATTATATGCTTTGCATTCCTTTTTTTTTAGAAAAATGTGCTAACACATTGTTTATATTGCAGTTAATATTTCTCCAGTGCGATAGGTATATAGAATTCCATGCTGCTTATGGTCGTTATTACAGATTACGAATACCCAAGTTTGGAAGAGATTTACAGTATGATTTTCCCAGTTGTGATGTATTTGTTGTTGGTGCTTCTTCAGACATTTATAGATTAAATTTGGAAAGGGGACAGTTCATGACACCATACACAAGTACTGCATCATCCATTAATAAATGCACCATTAATCCTGCACATCATCTGCTTCTTTGTGGTACTCAGGAGGGAAGAGTGGAAGCTTGGGATCAGAGGACTAAAACTATGGTTGGCAGTTTGGATTGTGCTCTTACCTGTCTTAGCGAAAATAAAGAGTAAGTAACTCACTATAATTGATAGGTAATAATACAAAAAGTGTATTATCCTACAATTTTTATTTAAAAGTTAAATAGTTATAATAAAAACACTAATACATATAAACATACCGGGTGGTGAATCGTCAAACGGGCCATAGGAAACTCAATGAGAAATTTTAAATTTTAATTGTTGAATTGCTGCTTCCCTAATTATTTTAGATCAAAAGTCATAAAAAACTATTTGTAGAGGACTAAAATCTGAATTAAAAACAAATGTTAAAACCGTTCTACGAATCAAATGTTCTTCAAAATTTTGAAAAAATGTGATACATTTTTCAGACCACCCCTAAAAGTTAGGCCACACGTAATGCAAGAATATATATTAGGACGTTTGTGTTCTATCATATTAATGTCAGATGTTTGACAATTTGAATTGTCAATTTTTTATTTTATAATTAAATTATAAACAATGAATTTTACTAAATACTACTACTACTGAACATTATTACTTTGTGAACAATAAATTATATTGTTTACAAATCGATCAATATAATGAAATGTACTCAGTTGACGAAAAATCGCATAATGTTGTATTCAGGCAATAGCGCGAACCTTTTCCTGCAACTACCGGATCTTTATTTAATGTAAAATATTCTAATTCACTAAAATTTAATTTCATGTTAAGTTAAGTTATACAACAATTCAATGAATTCCAATATACTGTTACTGTGATCTTTATTTCTAATAATAATATATGATTATTTCTAAACATAAAACTATAACAAATGTTATAATAAAACATGAATAAAACATTTTTATTATTGCTTTTTTCTCCTCAACTGAGTACATTTTTTAATCAACTTAATTTTTGTAAACAATAAATCACAACATTTTGGCCATTTAAATCATAGATAAATATAATATAATTGATTTAAATATTGTCAAATATCAGAAACAATAATATGACAAAACGCAACACGTAATACACATTTTTTCACAGAAAAATGTATTATATTTTAGCAAAATTTTGGAATACGTTTAAGTCGTAGAATAATTTTAACAGTTATTTTCGATACATATTTGAGTCCTCTACAAATAGTGTTCCATGACTTTTGGTGTAAAATAATTAGGGAAGCAGGAATTCAACAATTTAGAATTTACCATTGAGTTTCCTATGGCCCGTTTGCCGATTCACCACCCTGTATATACGAATTGAAAATAACATTATATATACAAAATTTACAATAATAAATGCTTTTGTTTTTTGTCATAATTTTTTTCAAATGGCATTACTTAGCTATCAAATCATACTTGATTTTAAAAGGTAGGACAAATCTGTATTCATTCATATTGTTGTGCCTTTGATACCAACCTCCATTGTTAATTACTTAATCATTGTTTAAAATTGGACTCTCTATAAACTTTTCATATGTCCTTCTCTTATGTTATGACAGAAGACTCTTTATTATAAAAAAATACAAATAAAGGAAAAAGACAAATGTTACAAGAAATAACTGTTATTTACTTAATCATGTGTTAAAAGTGACCATCATTAACATTCAGGCAGTAGTAAATTCTATTCTCAAATTCCTGTTGAACTTTTTTAAATAGTTTTTTATGTCACTGCAAACTTAGATAATGTGCTGTCTTAAACCATCAAGAGATATTAGTTGTGTTTTTAGACCTCAGATTTTAAATATCCCCACAAAAAGTCAAGCAGTATTAATGCTTGGCCACTCTATAGGATGACTTTACCAATCTACTTGCAAGGATTTGGGTTTAACCAATCTCTCTCACTGAAGTCAAAATGTGGTGGTACTCCATCTTGCTGAAAAGTTATTTTTCATTAATCAAAAAATTTCCTTGGCCATCTACTTGGTTTTTAGAACTTATCATCATCATCATTGGTGCTACAGCCTATAAAAGAGCCTTGACCTTCCCAAGTCTATTACACCAATCAGTTCTATCCATTGCCAATTGTTGTCAGTTTGCTGTGCCTATTTTTCTACCATCCTCATCTACACCATCCGTCCATCTGAGTTTTGGCCTACCCCTACTTCTACTTCCCACAGGTTGTGACCATAAGGATTCTTCTAGGAGGGTTGTTCTGCTGTGATTTTGCCAAATGTCCTAACCCATCTTAGTCTTCCTATTTTTATAAGAGATACTATGTCTTTACCACCAAATATATATTTATATCTGTGATATATCTCGTAGTTGTACCTCCTTCTGCAAACACCATTTTCACAGATGCCACCGAATATTCTTCTCAGGATCCTTCATTCAGATATAAGCAGGAGGTTTTCATCTGCTTTGGAGATGGTCCATGTCTCCGATCCATATGTCAACACTGGTTGTATAAGGGTTTTGTATATGGTTATTTTTGTTTTTTTTTGGCTTAAGTTTCTGCTTCTCATGGTTTTTAAAAGTTCCAAATATTTAATTACTATTTATAACTGGGAATAAGCCACAATTAAAGATAAAAATACGTTTATTGACGTTTCAATTTCCAATTCGGAAATCGTTCTCAAAATACAAACAGTAAATTAAACAAATTTTGTTTTTTGTTACATAGTGAAAAAATTCTTCTAATAATTTAATTTTATCTGACTCATTTATATTGACAATTCAGACATACATTATGCATTTTAAAGTAGACGACTTTAAAATGATATGCCAATATTGTTGAGTTGCGCTCCTGGGACGACTTTACTTATAAGATAGTTCATTTGATTACATGAAATCAACTTTAACTTGAGAATAACGTCAGAAAAAATCATAGCATCTATTTCGTCTTTAAAAAGACAAACACATGACATGATGACAGTAAAATTCTCCCTGTTAGTGATTCCATAGTAAATTATGAGGGAAAAACCAGGAAAAAAACTTCATAATACTATCCCGACATTGTAAGTATTTGTTCGTGAATTTAGTTTACCTCCAACAAACATCAAAAATTCTGATTTTATATGTTACGTTATTTAAAAACATAAATGATGTATCCTCTATATGTTACTGACTTACTAATACTGGTATTTTCCTATTAATAACTTCCTCTTTCAATATTGGTAACCAGATCCTACTACATTCTGCCGAGGAATTTGCGACACAATTGGCTCATTTAGCATAATTAGAGCCGCTTCTTTGATTTTTCTTTTTTTACCATCCGTTTCTTTTAGGACTATATTTGAATTATTCCATTGAACCCCTATGTTCATTATCCCATGCGTGTTTACATATTTGAGATCTATCAAATTCTCTATTTTTAATATAAGATTGATGTTCACTTATTCTAACATTTAATGGCCTTGATGATTCACCTAAATAATAAAATAATGGAATAATTCAAATATAGTCCTAAAAGAAACGGATGGTAAAAAAAGAAAAATCAAAGAAGCGGCTCTAATTATGCTAAATGAAGCCAATTGTGTCGCAAATTCCTCGGCAGAATGTAGTAGGATCTGGTTACCAATATTGAAAGAGGAAGTTATTAATAGGAAAATACCAGTATTAGTAAGTCAGTAACATATAGAGGATACATCATTTATGTTTTTAAATAACGTAACATATAAAATCAGAATTTTTGATGTTTGTTGAAGGTAAACTAAATTCACGAACAAATACTTACAATGTCGGGATAGTATTATGAGGTTTTTTTCCTGGTTTTTCCCTCATAATTTACTATGGAATCACTAACAGGAGAATTTTACTGTCATCATGTCATGTGTTTGTCTTTTTAAAGACGAATTAGATGCTATGATTTTTTCTGACGTATATTCTCAAGTTAAAGTTGATTCATGTAATCAAATGAACTATCTTATAAGTAAAGTCGTCCCAGGAGCGCAACTTAACAATATTGGCAATATCATTTTAAAGTCGTCTACTTTAAAATGCATAATGTATGTCTGAATTGTCAATATAAATGAGTCAGATAAAATTAAATTATTAGAAGAATTTTTTCACTATGTAGCAAAAAACAAAATTGTTTAATTTACTGTTTGTATTTTGAGAACGATTTCCGAATTGGAAATTGAAACGTCAATAAACGTATTTTTATCTTTAATTGTGGCTTATTCCCAGTTATAAATAGTAATTAATTTACAATGCCACAAGAAAATAGCTTCAAAACAATATTCCAAATATTTTTCACCCATCAAATTTCCTTCAGTAAGTACTGAAACAATAAGCGTTTCCTAAAATTCCTGCCTAAACATTTAAGTTCTTTAATACAAGTATCTTAAATACCAAAAATCTTAATTTTTCTCTTAAAAAGTTAGTCATTTTCAAAATTTGTTAAATATAATACTTACTTATGTGTAGGCTTTATTCATCATATACATTTTCATTATTATCTTGTATTTATGCTTAATTATTTCATTATCATTATATCATGAATAATGAGAGGGTGTATTCATTAATTTTCATTTAAAACTTTCCATTTGTAAATACTTTTTTCATTAAAAACTTTTGTTTATTTTAATGAATTTTATTTAATTTTATTTTAAAATAGCTTCGGAACAATAATAATTTTATTTAATTTTATTTATTTTTATTTCATTTTAATTACTTTTATTTATTTTATTTGATAAAATGATTTTAAAATAAAAATTAGCAAAATTGATCCAGTCGCTCTCGAGTTGTTATACAAAGTATATTATATAAAATTATAATAAATATGTATATATGGTTTACATTATCTATTTTACGGTATGCCGCAAGGTTACCACACCCATCTCGATTTTTCGAGTCACACTTAATAAAATTTTGGGCCCGTGCAAAACGGCATACCGAGTCATAAGAAGTATTCACTTCAATAAGGTCGACTCATCGCTAAAACAAATAATATGAACTTAAATAGAATACGTAGGCTATAAAAACAAGTTAGTTAAAGCAAGAAGTTTGCAAAATTATATACATACTTGCAGATTTCAGTGTCAAAAATTCACTGATGAACACAGACAGGAAATATTTAACCAATTCTGGGGTCTACTAAATTGGAATCTGCAGAATGTATTCAGTATGTCTACAGAGATTGCTTTGCCCAAACGACGACGGACAGAAACTGTTACTAATAAAGGAAAGAGCATTACTATCAAATTGCAAAATATGATTGTTCGCAAAATGTTTTTCTTTAAAACCTTGGATATTGGCAATGGATGCTATTCGAGAATTTTAAATGGGATATCTGACGTTGGAATCACCGCTGTTGATAAAAGAGGAAGAGATTTTTCTAAAATAGAGTAGAGTAGAGTAAATTTTTATTTGCATAAATTTTTAAACATAATTGAGCAAATAACGTCACATTATTACTTCTTCTTCTTAAGGTGCCGTGCATTTCTGCGTAGGCGTCCACCGTACATCGTCTTGTCAGGTGAGCTGTTAAATATTCTGGTTTCACATTATTACACATTCACAAAATATATATTGACATCACACATTTAAAATATATTAACATTACAAATTGAATATGCTGATCAAGGAGAACGATAGGCCAGGCACTCCGCTATTGTGTGGGCCCAATGTCAACTAGGTGTTGAAAAACCTTCTGTTGAATGTCAGTATGGTAGACTATTATAAAATTCAACAGAGGCATACAAAGGATTTCTCTCTGTTATAGACAATCTGTGAAGTGGCAAATTGGGAATCAGGTGGATCAATCAATTCCAATGATTGGGAAGCAGGTGATAAAACAAAGAAAAATTTTTAAAAAGGAACATAATACATTCAAATACATAGATGGCTGAAAAAGTGATTATATTGAGTGACTTGAATCGGCCTCTACAGGATTCTCCCGCCTTTAGTCCTAAGATCATCCGGACTGTCTTTTTTGGACTATAAAGACAGTTGAGCTATCTACTGCAGCACCCCAGAAGATTACTCCATATCGCATAACAGAATAAAAGTTTGCATAATATACTGATAGTAAAATCCCCTGGTCTAAATAGCTCTTTAACACTCTTAAAGAGTAGAAGGCTCTATTCAGTTTTTTTGTTGTATTTTGTATTTGTTCCCCCCAATTCAGATTCTGGTCAATATGAATACCAAGAAATTTAACTGATCTAGCAGGTTCCGTGATCCTCTTCATTTTTGATCATAAGGAAAATGTATAAGTGTTACCTAGAGCACTGTTAAGATAATAACAAGGCTCTCGTCAAGGAATGGTGCTACAGGAGAGTGTTTAATACCGAAGTTAATCCAAGATTTCATCATTTCTTGTCTGATACTTGTAATATGTAGATAAGTTCGAAACATCAATAAAATCGTGCATAAGTGAGTCGGATAAAAAGAAAATAATGTGCGAGAGAGAGCTTTATCACCGAAAAACCGAATCGAGATTACAAGCCAAAAAAGAGGCAAAAATAGTGGTCGAAACTTCAAGGAATAAAGAAGCGGTATCAGTTTGTTTCGATATGTAAAAACTCTACCTACACCAGCACTGAAAACCAACAAAGTGTTTTATATTCGAGTATTATGGTCATATAATTTTGTGATCCATAATTTGGGCAAGAAATGTGCTTAGATGTATATGTGAGATGAATCAGTTGCATCCAGAGGCCCTATGGAAGTTTCTTCATGTATTTGGAAATTTATTGCTGGTCTTAATCAAAATACACGACTTTATTGCATTTAGTGATTCTTGTTCGGGACAAAATAAGAATAAAAACATTGTGAATTTTTTTATGTATGTGGTTAACAAAACTCAGCTAGAAATAATAGACCACAATGTCCTTGAACCGGGACATACCTTCATGGAATGCGATGAAGATTTCAGGTGCGATTACTTTCATTGAAAAGTACAAAAAGCAAGTACTTTATATTTCTGTACCCAGTGAGTGGATGAATGCTGTGAGAAGCAGTTCTAAGAAGTTTAAACGTGAAGAAATGAAGATGGAGCACTTGATTTCACTCGTAAACTTCAACGAATAAGTGAGAGAAATAAAATGGATTCGTTTTGAGAAGAAAGGCCCATTTATCCTGAAATTTAAGTACACTCTTAAGTAACTGAATTTATAACTTTTAACTGTATGAAGAAGATGCGTTGAAGAACACCTCAGAATATTAGTCGTAGCCAACTGTACAGTTCACCCATGACTTTGAAGTATGAAAAATGGAAGAATTCACAAGATCTACTATGCTTCGTGCCACCATTACTATCAATTTTACAAACAGCTTAATCATACTGCGAAGAAGGGAAAACAAGGTCAGAAAAAGAAGCCAATGCAATCCGAAGAAATGAAAAAGAAGGACAATGAAGATAATGTAGAGCTAGACGACAATGACTAAATACTTGTGTGACTATGATGATGAAGATATCTAGCTCAGTTGCTAGCAAGTTTATATAATATCATTTCATTGTTTCTTTTATGCATTTTTTATTCATGTATATTTATGCTATTTAATAATCAATGTGATCAATCATCGTTGATTATGAAAAGGCATTCGACTCCATAGAACTTTGGGCAATAGAGAGAGCTATGAACAACTGCAGGATAGACTCCCGATACAGAATGCTCATACACAATATTTACAAGAAAGCTACAATGAAAATACAAATTGATGCGAAAACCAAAGCTATACCAATCAACAGAGGAGTTCGCCAGGGAGATGTTATCTCACCAAAGCTATTCACACTTGGACTTAAAGACGTGTTCAAAGACATTAACTGGCAGATAAGGAGTAAATGTTAATGGAAGAAAACTGAGTCATTTAAGATACGCTGATGACATTGTAATATTCGCTACAAGTTTCGAAGAACTACAGACCATGATGACGCAACTATTTCAAGCTTCGGAAAAAGTAGGTCTTAAGATGAACTTGGAAAAAACAAAAATAATGACAAATACACCGAACATTACAGAAATAACGTTGAACGACATAAATTTAGAAACAGTAAGCGAATACATCTACCTGGGACAGATAATGAAAATTAACAAAGAAAATCAAACTGCCGAAATTACCAGAAGAATAAGGTTAGCGTGGGCAGGATTTGGAAAACTGAGTTGGATCTTGAAAAGCACTAAAATAGAACAGTATTTGAAAACCAGAATTTACGATCAGTGTATCCTCCCTATACTCACGTATGGTTCACAGACGTGGACACTCACCAAGTCCAATATGGATAAAATAGTAAAAGCACAAAGAGCGATGGAAAGATCAATGCTCGGGGTGAGACTTATAGACAAAAAAACAAACAAATGGATTAGAAGCAAAACCAAAGTAAAAGACGCAGGAGAACATGCTGCCAAATTAAAATGGAGCTTCGCAGGACACAATGCCCGACTGAAGGATAAGAGATGGAACCACGAAATACAACAATGGAGGCCATGGTTAGGAAAGAGAAGCAGAGGAAGACCACAAATGAGATGGGCTGATGACATTAAGAAGATTGGAGGACACAACTGGAAGCAAGTGGCGCAAAATAGAAGACACTGGATTGATTTGGGGGAGGCCTATGTCCAAAGTTGGATTACTTAAGGCTGAAGAAGAATATTTATGCTATATAAATTTTGTTTTCGTATCTAATGTAGCTTCTTAAACATGTTCAAAAAATTACGTGTATCTCTTTTATAAAAGATATTATTTATTTATTTACTGGTAGTAATATTTACTTGTACCATTTTTATTCTAAGAAACTAAAATGGTACATGTACATTTTGTAAAAAAAAAGCTATGTGTGCACAAAATTGTGTTTGGCCTTTGTGTGCCATTACTTACACATGTCACTTGTACCACTTTTCCTGTCAGCTCCTCAATTATACATTAACTTACTGATTGATTTACCAATTTTTTGAAATTCTTGATAGCTTAAAGGATCTGCATTCGTTTCTATTGAACCACTTTCTCTATAAAAATGTAGTGAACTAATATGTGTCTTTCCTAACATCATCAATCGACCTAAAACCTTCTGTCACTTCGGGCACATACCCATAAATTACATTTCGCACATTTTTTAACGATATTCTAGACAAGGTTTTGGAAAATTTAAGCAATAATTATCATAGTAATAAGTGATTTAAAAAATTGATTTGCTAATTATAAACTTTTTTCTTTATTTTCGTATTTTTTCTTCAATAACTGTACTTTATTCGATATTTTATATCTTAATGATGTATTCACAGGTACTCTAACATGCGTGTTTACAAAAACAGTACGAAAAAAGGCTGAAATTGACGCATGCACACAAAAAAATTGTGATGATGAAAGGGGAAATCTCCAGTAGGAAGGAGGTGAATCTGACATTTACTTCATTATCGCTAAAAATTGTCCCACTCAAATTAACAGTTAACGTGTTTCGGCATTTCTTTCACAATTCTGAAATATTAAGGGCGGGTCATTTTCAGATGAACACAGTGTATATATTTACAATGTATTTTAAAAAAGCTTTAAAATAAGAAACTTAATTTGTACGTTGACAATTCTGTTATATTTACAATATTTACCATTTCTCACCTTCATAAGAGGAAAGATGTTTTGTACTATTTGATAGAAATAAATAGAGGAAACATTTTGAAACTATATTTTGAGAGAAACATTTAGAATGTGTTCTGCCTTAGCATATGTAGCAACTTCCTAGATAACAAAACATTGGAGAACTACATAGATCTAGCTAAAGAACTTCACTCTTACAAGATGTTACGTTACAACATGTATCTAAAGCTGCATTTTCTTCATTGCCATTTAAAATTCTTCTTTGACAATTTAGTCACAGTCTCAGACTGTGTGTTTGTTTGTGAGTGTGTATGTGTGTTATTCTTATTAATTTAAAAAACGTTTTTAGCATGGAAGGATTTCCGTCAGTAACAGCGTTAAAATTCAATGGAGGATTACAATTAGGAGTAGGAACAGCAACAGGACAGATATTATTATATGACATTAGATCTAATAGACCATTTTATGTAAAAGATCACATGAATGATTTGCCTATAAAAGATGTAGAATTCCATTATCAACAAGATTTGGTGTTATCTATGGACAGCTCAGTTCTAAAAATCTGGGATAAAAATAATGTAAGTTCATATTACTTTCATTTTATTATAGGTGGGTATAGCACTTATGTGGTGGGTTTTATTATAGGTGGGTATTATACAAAGTAGCATTAAAATAAGATTATTATCTCTAATCAACTCATTGCAGTTTAAAAATAAAAGGTACTAACATCATGCTAAAAATTCAACAAATTTCTGATTTAAGTTTGGTAAGTATACTACAGAATGTTGTTTGAGGTTTTTATACAGATTTTCCAAGTATATTGCACATTACTTATCTTTGAAATAACTTCATTTGGAATTTACAAACTTTTACTTCAATATAGCTGTAGCTAACACACACAGCTCGCTATCGCTTCAGAAAAAACCGGAAGTTGCTATGATTGATATTTTTAATGGAACACCCTCTGTATTATTATATTTTTAGATTCTGCATATAATCCTTCTTCTTCTTAGGGTGCCTGTCCGTTCCGAACGTTGGCGATCATTCTGGCTATGATGATTTTGTTGGTTGCTATACGAAATAGCTGTGTTGAGGTCTTTCTATACCATGCTCTCAGGTTAGCAAGCCAGGATATTCTTCTTCGTCTTGGGGCTCTTTTTCCTTCATATTATATATGTATATAGGATATAATCCTAGTAGTAGTAATTGCCGAATACAGCTACGATCTTAGCTATATGGTAAGAAAACTGCAAGAAGAATGTGAGGTTGCAGGTCTAAACGTGAATATGACAAAATGTGAATATCTCTCAGTGGGACCAGATGAAATATGTGAACTAGTCTTGGAAGACGACAAAATCAAAGACGTACAATCCTGCAAATATTTGGTTATTTTCAACAAGAAGGGAAATATCGCAGATGAAATTAGAGAAAGAATAAACAAGGGCGGAGCAGCGACCCCTGCCTTAAACTCTCTTCTCTGGCAAAAAACAATTCGACGAGAAACCAAAAAACACATTTACAGTAGTATAGTCCAAAGTATTACACTCTATGGTTCGGAAGTATGGGACGTTACCAAAGCTAATAGAAACAAACTTATGATGACAGAAATGGATTATCTGAGAAGAAGCTGCGGTAGATCGAAACTGGAGAGAGTTAGAAACGAACAGATAAAAAACGAAATGAAAATGGAGCGAAATATCAATGATGACATAGAAAGAAAGCAATTAATCTGGTTCGGACATGTTCAAAGAATACCAGAGTACAGATGGCCTAGAAGAATACTGGAATGGATCCCTCCTGAAAGAAGAAAGAGAGGACGACCACGGAGAAGATGGCGCAACGATATTGATGAAGCAATGGGGGCAAGAGACTTAGAAGTGGCAACTGCATATGACAGAAAAAGATGAAAATTGGGGGCGGAGAAGGCTCTTTCTCTCATATCGGAAATTATACAGTGCTCGCCCAAAGTTCGCTGTTCTTCGTATTTTTTAACGGTTATACTTGTAATAGTGAAATTTGAAGATAGGAAATAAACGGACGTGGGCCTCTCAACTAGTCATACCAGGTGTCGTAATAGTCATAGATGACGTTACAGAGCCACTGTAACCGATAATTTTAAATGGGACCTTATGGCAAATGATATCTCGTTTGAAAAGTATTGAACCATCCTATTCAATCATACTAAATTTGTGGCTAGGAGCTAGTGGCTAGCTAAAGGTCGTATGCCGAAAGGCCAGGTAGACTTGAATTCCGCCGGCATTTATTGTCGGAGGAACACGAATTTCTTCATGCCTGAAGACGTAGGTCATACAGAAATAATATTAATATATAATATATATATATATATATATAATATATATATATATATATATATATATATATATATATATATATATATATATATATGTTCGGAAAGATTTCCGCGGTTAGTACAATAAAACCTAGAGCTAAGATTAATATTATTACTAAAATTAATATCAAACTCACCAGTCTTCCGGGTTGAACCGCGTCGTTGTCCATTTTGCCAAGCTTTCGGCATCCTCTCTGATGCCTTCCTCAGGGCTTCCGAGGTCTCAGTCTCCCGAGCCCCCAGACACTACTACACTGTTCACTATTCACGGCACTGTCACTGTCACTACTACGGCTGGGAACATGAGACGGTTCATTTATACCGTCGAAGATGGCGTGGCCTAGGTGGGGGTTGGGGTGGGGGTTGGCGCGAGAATTGGTGCTGGGGTTGGCGCGAACATTTTCGACTGTGGAATTTTGGTTCGAGGATGGAGGGGGCGATATTTTCTTTATGAGAGGTCTCCATGTAGAAGGTAACCGTATGGCGTCATCTCTTTTATTAAGACAATTTGGCCTTTTTTCTATTTCTATGGCTTCTCGGATGATTCTTGGTTTATAGAAGCGGATGGGGGCTATGGTTCTGGAGTTTTCAAAATCGATTTTATGACCTGTATGAAGACTGTATGAAGACTTTTGAAAACTCCAGAACCATAGCCCCCATCCGCTTCTATAAATATAGAAGCTATATATATATATATATATATATATATATATATATATATATATAATATATATATATATATATATATATATATATATATATATATATATATATATATATATATATATATATATAATATATATATATATATATATATATATATATATATATAATATATATATATATATATATATATATATATTATATATATATATATATATATATATATATATATACATATACATATACATCCTACTATCATTTTGGCATCGATACATTATGCTTTTACCATCAATTTAGCATCGTCTTGCAAAGTAGCATCTGTATATCGACGCTACTTTACAAGACCTTAATAACTTTTTTCCTGTACTTGTTACAAGAATTTTAACCATCTCAATGATTAGAGATTTGATACCGTGTTGGTATTTTAAAATGTCCGCTTTCTCTTTTTATCCCTTACTGAGTTATATAAGTTTATTCCAGGAAATGTTTGAGTCTAAAATGATGGTACAGTGAAAATATTATATATATTTAGTTCAGTGTTTTACCGTTTACTCGCTGCCATTATATACATGAAAATGTATATCGCACTTTCATTATCAATCATTTTGGCATCAGAAATTTGGCATCGCTGTTAAATATAATATTACCCACAACGAAATGGTAAATTTAAGAATTTATATATATTTTTTTCATCCATAAATCATTCTAGCATCTTGTTTGATTAAAAATAACGGGTTACATATTGGCTATATATAACGGGGTATATATTGCATATTTTTGCTCCAATTGGTCCAGTCGTGATGTACAGCACCTCAAATGATAGGATTTAACCAATAAAATACAATAAGACAGAAAAGCAGCATGTCAAAAAGGCCTTAGTTATATATCTTCGTTTCTATAAGTCCAATGGTGACGTACAGTATCTCAGATGATAGGATTTAACCAATCGAAAACAATGAAATAAAAAAAATCAAATACAGCAACATGTCAAAAGGGCCGTAGTCACGTATTTTTGATCCTATTAGTCCAATCGTGACGTATAGTACCTCTAATGATAAGATTTACCGTAAGGAATACAATGGGATAGAAAAATGAAATACAGCACAATGTCAAAAGGGCCTTAGTTGTGTATCTTCGGTTCTGTTAGTCCAATCATGACGTGCAGTACCTCAAATGAAAGGATTTAACAAATAAAATACAATGAGATACAATGAGGTAATGGATTTGCATGTCAAAAGGGCCTTAGTTATGTACCTTTGGTCCTATTAGGCCAATAGTGACGTACGATATCTCAAATGATAGCACTTAACCAATCTTCTTCTTACGGTGCCTTATCCTTAAGGACGTTGGCCATTACATTTGCCCATTTAATCTTATTTGTAGCAGTTCTGAATAGTTCTATGGTGGTCATGTTCGTCCATTGCCGTAGGTTTTTAGAAAGAGTTGCAAGAGTTTTTTTGCAAGAGTTGCGTCTTCTTCCTGGTCCTCTTTTGCTATTGACTTTGCCTTCGATTATAAGTTGGAGCAGTTCATACTTTTGACTTCTTATGATATGACCAAAATATTGTGTTTTCCGTTCTTTTATTATAAGCATAAGCTCTCTTTCCTTATTCATCCTCCGCAAGACTTCCGCATTCGTCGTATGGCTCATGTAGGATATTCTGAGCATTTTACGGTAACACCAGAGTTCGAATGCTTGGATTCTTTTTTGTGTTGCTTCTGTCATTGTCCAGGCTTCAACACCATACAGCAGGGTGGAGAAAACATAGCACTTAAGTATTCGAGTTCTCAATGAGATGCCCAGCTGGCGGTTGATAGAACTTTTTGCATTTTGTAAAACATTGTACGTGCCTTTTCCAGGCGTATTCTTATCTCTAGTGAGTGGTCCCAAGTTTCATCAAGATTACTTCCAAGGTACGTTGTTCTTGTTACTCTATCCAGATCTGTTCCGTCGACATTGACCTTCACCCTTCTGTTTTGGTGCTTGCTGATGATCGTCGTTTTCTTCTTTGTATTCAATTTCATTCCAAATTCTCTACAGGCTGTCGTTACTCGGTCCATTAAGCGTTGCAGGGCTTCAGCATTATTTGCCAGTATGACAGTGTCATCAGCATATCGCAGGTTATTTATACATTGCCCGTTTATAATTATACCATCCGAGGTGCCTTCCAAAGCTTTCTGAAATATCTTCTCAGAGTAAACATTGAACAGCAAAGGTGATAGGACACATCCCTGTCTTACTCCCTTCTCGATATTGATTTTTCCAGATGTTTCGCTTTTTATTCTGATTTTAGCCTTTTGTTCTTGGTAGAGGTTTGAAATGATCCTTAAGTCTTTATCGTCGATATTACATGACCTTAAAATATCTATTAGTTTATAATGTTTCACCAGGTCAAACGCCTTCTGAAAGTATATAAAACACAAGTATACATCAGAATCGACATCTCTACATCTTTCAACTAGCACACGTATTGAAAAAAGTGCTTCTCTTGTTCCGTACCCATTCTTAACACCAAACTGAGTTTGACCAGTGTGCTCGTCTAGTTTATTGTATACTCTATTGCG